TCTCGGATCGGCGTTGGGGCCCCCCTGCGGCGCCTCCGGCGCCGCCCCTGGCGCGCTCCGCGCGCCAGGGAGGGGGGTCCAGCGCCGATCCGAGAAATCCGCGCGGACCTCCGAGTTTTTATGTTTGTGCCACTTTTTGTTCCCCTATCCTTGGCGCCCCAGGAGCGGGCTTCTGAAGGCGTGTGCTTCTGCTTTTGCTTTGCGCATCCCGGCAGACATGCACGATGGAGGGAAGGCGTGTCCTGCTCTGATGCCTCCTCTCTCGCTCGCGTTCCTGCCTCTATCCGAGCTGCTCTCTGCTCTTTCTCGGTCCTCTCTGCCGCCAGCTTCCCTCTGCCTGTTGTTGCTGCTGCTGTTCACGCGTTGCGCTGTGCGTATCAAGTCACGGCTTAAATGCAAGCTGCTCTGAGCAATGGAGCCCAGCCGCGCTTGAAAAGAATTTGATGCTCGAGTCCAGCGCTCGCTCCCCCTGGAGAAGGAAAACACATAGGGAAAGCAGCTTCCAGAATTCAGGAGGGGAAAAAGCACACAGACACAATTAATCGTAGATTCCAAGGAAAATATAGGAAAATATGGGAAGTGAGGGGGAAGACAAAAGCCCAGAAAATATGGGAAAATATGGGGAATATGTTTATTTGTGTGTATTTATTTGTGTGTCCTGGGGCCCCTTCAAGAATGGAGGTCGAGCCTCCACTTTCTGAAGGTCTTCGATCCTCTGAGCTTGGCTGGAGGGGCTCGCTCGCCTACTCCCTGGGGTGCAACGCCCCCAACCCTGTGGAGGAGACCAGGAACCTTCGAAGGTCAGAGTTGAGCCCCGCTCTGGGGACGCTTCTCTTGCGCTCCCTGCTTCGAGGTCGGCCTAATGCAGTCTTGGCTTGGCACAAGCCCGCCCGCGCTGGGAACGGCCCCGCGGCGGGCTTGCCGACGCGCGGGCGCCCTCGCTCGGCGGGTCGGCCGCGCGCTGGCCGACCCGCTTCCGTTCGGGGCGCCGTGGGCCCCCCATCGTGGCCACCCACTCCACTGCGCAGCGAATCGGGTGCTGACGTCGGTCTCTTTTGCTTTGCCTCCTACTGGCAATGGTTTGTGCGCGTGCGCGAGTGTGTGTGTGTGTGTGGTTGTGTGCGTGCGTGCGTGCGTGCGTGCGTGCGTGCGTGCGTGCTCGTGTGCTCGTGCGTGCGTGCGTGCGTGCGTGCGTGCGTGCGTGCGTGCGTGCGTGCGTGCGTGCGTGCGTGCATGTGTGCGTGTGTGTGTGTGCGCGTGTATGTGTATGTGTGTCTGTGGATTTGTTTCCGTAGCCATTTTGGCTCAAGCCGTTTTTTGGAGCAAGTTTTATTCATTTGCCACGAGCAGCTCCGCCCGCGTCGGTCTCGATTCATGGCCACCGCGGTTTTGCCATCCCTCCCGCCGCCCGGCAGCGGCGCGCCGCCCGTGGTGGGCCTCGCGGAGCAGCGCGGCGTGGCGCCGACGCCGAGCCTGCTGAGCCACCTGCACCCGTCGCCCGCGGGCGACGAAGGCCCCCATCGTGGCCAGAAGCCCTGGGCGGCGAGCGGCGGCAGGGCCTGCGCGCCCCAGGACTTCACCTCCTCGCCGTCGTCTCCCGCGCTCGACGAGGCCGTGCCGGTCGGCGCTCGGTGGCCGGCGCTGCGGCGCGGCTCCAGACTGCCGGCCGTGGCGTTCGGGCTCGTGCAGGGGTGCGCGGCCGCGCCGCTGCTGCTCGAATTCGTGGACAAGCTCGCGGGCGGGCTGGCGCCCGGCGGCTCGCGGGCGCTGGAGGACCTCGCGCTGGACTCTGAGGTGGAGTCGGGGCTGTTCTCGGCCGCACTGCGGGCTTGCGACGTCCTCGGCTTTGTGTCCGTCGACGCCCTTGCGGGCACCTGCCGTGCCAGCGGCGGCGAGGAGTTCTGCGAGCTGACCGAGGTGCTGAAGCCAGGATCTCCAGTCGCGAAGGCTCTCAGGAACGTCCACTCGGCCATGCTCCGGGGTGGCTCGCCCTCTGACCTGCTGGGCGCGTGCCTGGAGGCGTGGGGCGCGCGCCGGGCCTGGGCGGGCTCCCGCGCGCTGGGGCTGGTGCTGGACGGGGCCGTGCTGACGCCCCTGCTCGCGGCGGTGGGGCGCTTCGCGGCGGCGGGGCGGCGGCTGGACTTAGGCGGGCTGGGCCGCCCGCTGCAGGCGGGCCTGGAGGGCGTGCTGGACGAGCTGCTCGACCTCGGCGAGATGGACTCCGCGGGCCGCGTGGGGCTGACGCCGCGCGGCTGGGAGGAGCTGTGGTCCTTCTGCGGCACCCTCGCGCCGCTGGCGCCTCTGCTGCCCGTGCCGTGCGGCCCGCCCAGCGCGCCGCCCGGCGTGCCGGCGGCGGAAGTCCCCGACGGCGCGCAGCACGTGCTGTGCATGCCGGACCTGCTGCGCCAGGTGCGCGCCGTGTTCAACGCCGGGCCCTTCAAGGCGCAGCCGCGCTTCCTCGTCGCGGCAGGCGAGGGCGCGGGGGCGCTGCTGGCCGCCGTGCGGAAGCACGTGCAGCGGTGCACGCAGCGCGGGGCCCTGCTGGACGCCTTCCCGCTGACGGCCGTCGCTGTGGCGGCCGACAAGGCACAGGGCGCGGCGCTGAAGCGGGCGAACCAGCAGCCCTGGCTCAAGGTGGTCGTCGGCGGCACCGGCTCCGCGGAGCAGCTCCTGGCCGCCCTGGCGAAGGCCCGCGCGCCGCCCCAGGAGACGCTGGTCCTGGCCACCCTGCTGTGCGGCGAGGAGCTGGCCGCGCCGCCGAGGAGGCCGCTGGACGAGGCCAGCACCGCGGGCGCCTTCGCGCGGGGCGCGCTCGGGGGCCTGCCGAACCTCGGCCCCGAGGGGCGGCCCACCTCGCCGTGCGCGGTGTTCGCCGCCCTGGTGGAGCGCCTGGAGGACCGCTTCGGCCCGAGGCTGGGCGCGACCGCGGGGCTCTGCTGCCAGGACCCCACGGCGCTGAGCTCGCGGGCGCTGCGGCAGTCCTTCGCGAGGGGCGCGCCGCTCTGCGGGGACCTGGCGCACGGCCTGGGGGGCGGGGCGCTGGTGCCGGCGCCGGCGCTGGCCCTGGCGGCGGCCATGGCGGGGCTCGTCCCCGACTCGGTGGAGCTGCTGAAGGAGGTGTCCGCGCGGGACGCGGGCGCGGGGCACTGCGCCGCACTGAGCCAGTGCCTCAAGCTGCAGCCGTTCCGCATCCGGCTGGCGGAGCAGGCCGACTACCCGGAGCTGATGGCCCTGGAGCAGCAGTGCTGGGCACCCAACCTCCGCGCGACGGAGCTCGCGATGCGCGCGAGGCTGAGGACCACCCCCGAGACGGTCCTCGTGGCCACGAAGGAGGACGGCCGCCTGGTGGCCGCGCTGTGGATGCAGCGGATCGATGAGGAGACCGACGTCCTCCAGATGCAGTACGAGGGCACCCATCTCCACCACAGGCCATCCGGCAAGCTCGTCCAGCTGCTCGCGATCGCCTCGAGCGAGCCTGGCGTGGGGAACAAGCTCAGGAACTTCGCGCTGCACCTGGCGTGCCTGGACCCCGCCGTCGAGGGGGTCGTGGCCGTCACCCGCGCCTCCGACTTCCGCGGCGGCGGCCCCGCGGAGATGGAGGACTACATCGACCGCGTCGCCGCGGGCCACGCGCGGGACGGCACCGTCACAGGCTTCCACATGGACGCGGGCGCGCGGGTGAGGTTCGCGGTGCCGAACTACCGCCACAAGGACGTCGCCAACTTCGGCTACGGCGTGCTGATCCGCTACAACATCCTCGACAGGGCCTCCCTCGGTCGGCCTCTGCTGCAGCCGGCCCCAGTGGCGGCCGATGACCAGGGCGCTCATGGCGAGGAGGCGGCGCCGCTGCCGGGCGGCGGGGTGCGCGGGCTGATCGAGGGCCTCTGCCGGAAGCTGGCGCCGGAGGACGACATCACGCAGCCGTTCATGGACTTCTTAGATTCCATGGAGGTCTCCCAGCTCTCGAGCATGATCGGGACGGAGCTCGGCCGGAGGCTGAACCCCACCGTGGTCCTGGACTACCCGAGCGTGGAGCTCCTGAGCGCGCACCTGGAGGAGACCGCCGTCTCCAGGGCCAGGGCCAGCAAGGGCACCCCTCCGGGCGCTCATGGCGAGGAGGCGGCGCCGCTGCCGGGCGGCAGGGTGCGCGGGCTGATCGAGGGCCTCTGCCGGAAGCTGGCGCCGGAGGACGACATCACGCAGCCGTTCATGGACTTCTTAGATTCCATGGAGGTCTCCCAGCTCTCGAGCATGATCGGGACGGAGCTCGGCCGGAGGCTGAACCCCACCGTGGTCCTGGACTACCCGAGCGTGGAGCTCCTGAGCGCGCACCTGGAGGAGACCGCCGTCTCCAGGGCCAGGGCCGGCAAGGGCACCCCTCCGGCGCAGCAGGCCACGAGGCCCGCCCTCATGAGCTGGGACGACATGTCGGCGGCCGACTTCGAGGCCCTCCAGCGGGAGGTCGTGGGCAGCCTCCAGTCGGAGAGGTTCCAGGCGCGCCTCGCGCGCCTTGCCTCGGAGCACGACGGGTGCAGGCAGACCTACCTCATCGCCGCGGCGCCCATCGTGGACGCGGCCACGCGGGAGGCGCTCACCCGCTGCGGCCTCCTGCGGTGCCCGGAGGACGCGGCCGAGGCGACCGCCCTGCAGCTCGAGGAGGTCCAGGCCCGGTGGCGGCACTTCTGGGCCCAGGGCGCGCAGCTCCCGGAGCTGCTCCTCCGGCTCGATCGCGCGCTGCTCGGCGGCCTCGAGCGCGCCGCCGCGGCCGGCGGCGCGCCGCAGTGAGCGCGCAGCGGCGGCGCTCCGGGCGCGGCGGAGAGGGGGAGGAGGAGGAGGAGGAGGAGGAGGAGGAGGAGGAGGAGGAGGAGGAGGAGGAGGAGGAGGAGGAGGAGGAGGAGGAGGAGGAGGAGGTGAGATTGGGAAAGGGGAGGGGAGCCGGGAGGGGATGTTCGTCGTTGAGACGCGAGATACTTCACTGCCAAACGTAGGCTCTCGTGTCGATGAGCCTGCTTTCGCAAGCTCAGAGGCAATCGTGCTTGTGCTCGAATCTTTGCCACTGGATGCCCAACCGCGCGAATCAACAAACCAATCATTGGGTGATGCACGAGCGCGCATGGACGGCTCGATGCGAATTCGTTTTTGTTTTTTTTTTCTTTGAGGGCGTAAGTGACCTCGAGGGCGACCGCCAAGGCACAGAGGCGGGGGCGCTGCTCCTCGCGGCGGGCTGTCGGCGAGTGCCCCGCCTGCCGTGGTTGCCGGCTCTGACGCCCAGCGGCCCCGACGCGCCTGTTCTGGCGTTCTGACGCGCGCTGGTACCAGGCTGAGCCAGGCTGAGCCTGGTATCCTAAGTGATGTGCACGCAAGACTTTCATTCATGCCTTGGATCGCCACGAAGTACCTTTGCCAGCACTGCGAAGGAGAAATCGCACCATTAATTGCCGCCAGCGCGGCAAGCAGCCCGTTTACGAAATATGCAGTGCGCCGAGCTCGATCCCGGGAATCTGTTCTTTCCTTCCGGGAAAACCGTTCCAGCAGCCGCGGATTTGCCAGCCCTCGCCCCGAGGTGCAAGCTGTATGAGGCGCCCACGAGGCGCCCGCGGGGCGGGGAGCCGGGCAACCTCGACATGCCCTTCCCGCGCGGGGCGCCCACAGCGCACCTGCGGGCGGGCACTGGGCGGGGGCGGGGGCAGGGGCGTGGCGCCGACGCGGCGGGCCATGCGGCGCGGGCCGCGGAGAGCCCGGCGAGGGCCTCGGAGGAAGCCTGCGCTCGTGCCCTATGCAGTTCTTCCTTCCGGCTGGCATTCTTTACTTACGCCACGGCCTTGCCGCAGGCGTCCGCACGCTGCCCGTGGCTTCGGTGAAGTCCGCCCACCGCTGTGCCGGTCCATCGGCCTGTAGATGGCTGGCGGGCTGGTCGTGTGCTCTTTGCATTGTTTTGCCCTTCCGCTATCCTCCTCCTCCTCCTTTATCTCGCCTCTCCTGTCTCTCCTTCTTGTCCAACCGTTGTAAGTTATAAGTGAACACCTTGAGTCCAACGTGGCTTTCGGTTGCATGTGGCATACGTTGCAGAATAATTGATGAGCAAGTGTTTTTTGCACGACGAAGCTCATTATGGAAACCTGTCGAACGAACGTGTCTGTGGATTTGTTTGTCCGACGCCGTTGGCTCAAGCTGTTTGATATCCAGAGCATCGGAACACCAGTGGCAGGGCTGGTTGAGCCTCTCTGGCAAGGTTTGTGTTCACGCACAGACGGCCCCCCCGCAGGTCGCGACGGGGCTCTAGAGGCCCCCAGGAGCGCGGAACCCCCTAGAGGGTAGCCGCTGAAGGTGGTTCGGGCATGTTGGACCGCCCCATGACCAGCCCCGGGGGGTTTGTTGAGGCCAGCAGGGGCTGCCCTGTGCGCGGCTTCAAGTCTTCTTGAGATCCGACGTTGCGACACAATGCAACATCGCAGCAAGTCGCGACCAGAGCCCTAGCAGAATTTCCATGCGGCATTTTCAAGGCCGGATCGACTTATGAGGCAGAGGAGGAGGAGGAGGAGGAGGAGGAGGAGGAGGAGGAGGAGGAGCGAGGAGCGAGGAGCGAGGAGCGAGGAGGAGGAGGAGGAGGAGGAGGAGGAGGAGGAGGAGGAGGAGGAGGAGGAGGAGGAGTTGGAGGAGGTTGTTGAGGAGGAGGAGGAGGAGGAGGAGGAGGAGGAGGAGGAGGAGGAGGAGGAGGATGGTCCCGGGGCCCGAGGCTGGCCGAGAAGTGCCCCGTGCGAAGACAAAAGGCAGCGCCGAGATCTTATAGGGCACGACCACGACGAGCACGCAGGACGACAGGACGACAGGACGACGACGACGACGACGACGACGACGACCACCACCACGACGACGACGACGACCACGACAACGACCACGACCACGACGGTGACGACGACGACGAGGACCACGACGGCGACGACGAAGACCGCGTCGACGACAACTATGGCGACGGCCACGACCTCGACCACGACCACGACCACGGCCACGACCACGGCCACGACCACGGCCACGACGACGACCACGACCACGACCACGATCACGACGACGACGATAACGACGACGACGACGACGACCACGACGACGACCACGACCACGACCACGACCACGACCACTCCCACGACCAACACCCTGAGGGTATCCTGGCGACCAAAAAACGAGGACGACGAGGAAGAGGACCACAATGACGACGGCCAAAATGACGACGACGACCAGAATGACGACGACGATGACGACGACGACAATGACGACGACGACGACGACGACGACGACGACGACGACGACGACGACGACGACGACGACGACGACGACGACGGCGGCGGCGGCGGCGGCGGCGGCGGCGGCGGCGGCGGCGGCGGCGGCGGCGGCGACTCGACGACGACGACGACGACGACGACGACGACGACGACGACGACGACGACGGCGACGACCACGACCACAACAACCACGACGCCGACGCCGACGGCAGGTCTCCCTTACCTCAGGGCTGCAGGGCCTTTTGGGGCCAGTCAGGTCTCTTCGGGGGGGCCTGTTGCAGCCAGGCGGGCCTGCCTGGGGGGGCTGTCTGTGCGCAGCCCGGGGCTTTACCAGGATCCAGGGTTAAGTCGGGCGTGTCCCCCTACAGGGGGATTTTCGACGAACAAAAACAATTGTCAAAAAATTGTCCAAACATAGTCAGGGGATTATTTTTTGAGCATTGTTTTGCCTTTTTGGTGCATGTTTGGGGCATTTTTAACATTTCGTCAAAAATCTTCATGTGGGGGGACAGGCCCGACTCAACCCCAGGGCCCGCCGTCGCCGCCCCCCCCCTCCGGACGCGATGCGCGCTCGCTCGTGCCCCGTTGCTCGCGGCCTCGCCGCTTGCTGGCTCGCCGCACGCGGGCTGGCGGCGGGGTCGCCTGGCGTGCTGCACGAGGCTCTGCCGCTGCCGTTCGGGCGTCGTCGTCGTCGTCGTCGTCGTCGTCGTCGTCGTCGTCGTCGTCGTGGCGGCGGCGGCGGCGTCGGCGGCGTCGGCGGCGTCGGCGTCGGCGTCGGCGTCGGCGTCGGCGAGGCGCCGCCGCTGCCGTGCGGATGGAGAGCGTCTTCGCAGTCCGTGGCCGAGGGGGAGCTCCGGGGAAGAAAAGGTGCCAATACCTTGAGGTCCTGGCGTGGCAATTGTTTCGCACTGAGCACTCTCGCCCAGTCGTGGGCCCGGGGGCCATCACGGATCAATCGGGCTCGAGGAATGCCGCAGAAAGATGGGGTCCAGTGCTCTGGTCGTAACTTGGTCGCGATGCTGCAACTTGTTCGCGACGCCGGATCTCGGGGTGCGGCTGCCCTTGTCTCGCGTTCGCCCTTTGGGGGCCGCCCGGGCAGCTTTCGTCCCCACGGCTGGATTCGCCTCAGGATTTTGGTCAGAACGCACCCCGGGAGAGGCCAGGGGAGCAGCGGTGTCGTTACGTTTCCCCCAGGAGCGGGTCACGCTGCGGCTCTCCCTGAAGCAGCAGGGCGTGGCGAGGCTCCAGGAGGCAGCCGAGCGCGTGTCCGATCCCTTCAGCACGTCGTACGGCCAGCACCTGACGCGCGAGCAGGTGGAAGCGCTCGTGGCCCCGCTGCCCAGCGACGTGGCCGCGGTAGAGGGCTGGCTGCGCGGAGAGGGGCTGCTCTTCAGCCGCCCCGCCGTGGAGGTCTTCGAGGTGGCCCTCGCGGCGCGCGATGCCGAGCGCCTGCTGCGCACGCGCCTGGGCGCCTTCGCGAACAGCGCCACTGGCCAGCGCGCCGTTCGCGCGGAGGACTTCATGCTGCCTCCCGAGGTGGACGCCGCGGTGGCCGCGGTGTATGGCCTGCACGGCCTCCCGCTGCCGCCGCGAGAGGCGGCGGCACCGCCGGGTCCCCCGGCGCAGGCAGCGAACGTCACGCCAGAGGTGCTCGCCACGCGCTACGGCATCTCGGGCGTGACCCCGTCGGGCTCGGTCGGCAACCGCCAGGCGGTGGCCGAGTTCCAGGGCCAGCTCATCGCCCAGAGGGACCTGGACAAGTTCTTCGCCGACTACGTGCCCAGTGCCGCCGCGCGGTCTTCGAAGATCTACAGGTACGTGGGCAACAAGGGAACCGGGCCCAGCGGCGTCGAGTCTGCGCTCGACGTGGACTACATCATGGGCGTGGCGCCGGGGGTCCTCACTGAATACTGGTACTGGGGGGGCATGGACTTCTGCGCCGACCTCAAGAACTGGACTGGCACCATCCTTGCGAGCGACAGCCCTCCGCTGGTGCACTCCGTGTCGTACGGGTGGCAGGGGAACCTTTCGCAGGTGGGCTGCAAGCCCGCCAACGTCCAGGACGTAGATGTCAACCTGATGAAGTTGGCGGCCCGCGGCATAACCATCCAGGTGCCTGCGGCAGATCCGCCGTTGCGCCAGCGAAGCACGCACGCTGCATGACGACACTTCGAGCACAGCCCAGGAGGCCGCCACATGTGAGACACCTGTCGTTTCCACGCCTTGAGGAGGTCTCATGCGGACTAAATTGGCTGTCTTGCGCTCCTGTGGGGCATTATTGGGAGTCGCTTGGTACCTGCCTGGGCCGCCTTGGGGCCCACTGGGGACGTCTGGGGGCCCTGATGATCCATATTGGGGTTCTCTTGACCACGCCGAGATGCACGGCTTCTCTCGGCCGCCTGGCCTCGGGGGCCTCTCACGTCGGAGATCTGGGGGCGCCAGAGCTCCATCGCCGAGCTCCTGGAGCTGGTGCTCCGATCAGGGCCACCAGGCATCAGGCCAGAGGCCTGGGCCCCAGCGGCGGCGGCGGCGAGGGCGGAGTTGACGACGGCCGCCACCGAGGAGCGCCGCCCGCGACCGCAGCGAATCCGCTCCTCCTGCAGTGAGGCCTCGCTCTTGCCCGATTCCCTCCCCCACCTTTGCTGCATCGTCGAACTTCCTCCTGGCTCCCCGACCATCCGCCGCAGCCGCCCGCTGATCTTGAGGCTCGATGGGGAGGGTTAGGGGTTGTATGGTCAACTTAGACGTGGAACTCTCGGGGGTAAGAAGGGTGCGGGGACGGGTGCGCGGAAGGGTGATCGAACGGGTGCGCGAGCGACGCGCGCAGCCACCGTCTGGAACTAAACCTTTGCAGCTGCGGTGAAATTTTCACCCGCCCGATCCGCCCCTGCGTGGGCATGGGCCCGCCTAAAGACGGTGGCGGGGGCCTGGGCGACCTCAGCCCCCGTCCGGAGCGCACCCGAGGCGCCATGCCTTTTTTTGGTTGTGTGCTCCCGACTCGTTCGCCCGCCTCCTCCACCTCCTCCACCTCCTTGCCTCCTCCACCTCCTTGCCTCCTCCACCTCCTTGCCTCCTCAACCTCCTTGCCCCCTCCACCTCCTCCATCTCCAGTGCCCCCGCCTCCTCCACCTCCTTGCCCTCCCTCGTGGAGTCCTCCCTTCTTGTCCTCTCACTCGCCTGGGATTCGGCCCCCACCCCGATCGCGAGATCGAATATCCACGTTCACGATGTCACCAAGTCGTGGCCCAGAGCCTTCACACTTACCATCAGCTGAAAGCGGACCTTGCGCGGCGGCCGCAGGTCGCCACGCCTTCATACCATTACCCGATACGAGCTGCTGCAGTAGCCGCTATGCGATGCTAACCGTCTTCCCGGCTACGTGCGCTCCTCCCCTCCCTCCCTCCCTCCCTCCCTCCGCCTCCTCCTCCCTCCTCCTCCCTCCGCCTCTTCCGCCTCCTCCGCCTCCTCCCCCGCCTTCTCCTCCTCCTCCGCCTCCTCCTCCTCCTCCTCCTCCGCCGCCTGCTCGCCTCCTCCTCGGGCGCACGTCAACGAGGGGTGCACGAACGTGGGGGTGTCCATGGCAGCAGGAAAGAGCCCAGAGGGCCCCTGAGCTGCCACCCATGGGGCGGGCCCAGACGAGGGGGCACGAACGGTGCCCACTTCTACAGCCCGCGTTTGCTCTGCCCCCCCTGTCACCGAGCATTCTCCTCCTCCTCCTCCTCCTCCTCCTTCTCCTCCTCCTCCTCCTCCTCCTCCTCCTCCTCCTTCTCTTCCTCCTTCTCCTCCGAGAGGAGGAGAAGGAGGAAGAGAAGGAGGAGGAGGAGGAGGAGGTTGCAGACACCCTGGCGGACAGCACTTGCAGTCGGGAGCTCTTGCCCTTAGCGTGTCGCTCCGCCGGTTCTGGCCCACCACGCTGCGGCGCGACACGCCATCCGCGTCCCAGTCCCCAAGCGTCAACGTCTCTGTCTTTTTCCAGCCTCCGGCCCCGCGGAGCGGAGCGACGCGCTATCCGCTCGCATGTCCTAGCGCCTCTTTGGGGCCGCCGCCGCGACACGCTAAGCAAAAGTTGCCACGCCTCAGCAGGGCCAGGGGCCACGGTGGCGGATCGTCTTGGCCAGCGGCGACTCGGGCTCTGGCTACACCCCCAGATGTGACAGCGCGTCGCAGTTGCTCGACAAAGCAGCGAAGGGCAAACTCAAGGCCAACACCTCGGTGTTCAGCGCCGAGCAGTGTTGTCACCTGATGGCCATGGAGGGGGTGAAGGCCTGGACCTTCGTGCCGCCCGCGGCGGAGGCCGCAGCGCCGAACCCAGTTCTCAGGAGCAACGCTCGGGGGGGAAAGGCTTGGGGGATGCATCGATCCCCAGTCGCCCATTCGGATAGCCCACTCCGTGCAGGACCGTGCGGTTTCGCTATCGGGAGCCTTTCGCCGATGTATTCGGTGAGCTATCGCCGATTCCCGGCCGACGCTTCTCACTCTGAGCTTGTCCCCCCCTGTCGTTGCCCTTCAGGTTCCACCGAAGTGCGACTACACGGAGGGGGTGGGGCTGGAGGGCGCCAGGATGCGAGGACAAAAATAATTGCGTGAGCATAAACTACGGAGCTCCGCGCGGACTTCTCGGATCGGCGCTGGACCCCCTTCCTGGCGCTCGGAGCGCGCCAGGAGCGGCGCCAGAGGTGCCGCCAGGGGGCCCAGCGCCGATCCGAGAAATCCGCGCGGAGCTTCGAGAGTTTACGGTTCTGGTTCCTCTCGAGGATGGAGTCATTCCTGCTGCCGGCGGACATCGCGGACCACATGTGTTGCGACCGCGCGTTCTACGGGCAGGGCCACGGCGTCTCCCTGACGTGCTCCAGCGAGAGCGGCGGCAGCGCCGAGGTGGCCGCGCAGTGCAACTGCACCGTGTTCGCCGAGGTGACCGGCAGCAGCCGCCAGGCCGGCGCCAGGTCGTCCAAGGTGGTGCCGCCGGCGCGGGGGCAGTGCTTACTCTTCGAGGAGGTTGGCGGCAGCCCAAACATACTCAAAAACTATTGTGGGGGCGCTCGTTCACGCGTGTGCCCAGGAGGCTTCAGACCCTGGAGGATCCCTTCTCTGAGGGGGGCGGCGGTGATCTCCATGTACGATCCATCCACGAGTGTACAGTGCCGTTAAACATGCAGGGTTTTATTTTTAATAACAATGATTAAGGTATGCGTTGATTTATTCGTAAATTAATCATCACTGAAAAATCATATATATATATATATATATATATATATATATATATATATAAAAAAGTCATGTATTAAAATTGCCCTGTAGTTTTATCAGTTTCCAGGTCTGGGCGTCTTCGTCCAAAGGTTCTGTATCCAACGCCCTCACCGTAGTCCGTGGGCGTTGGCCCCCCAGGGGCAAGGCGCGCGCTCAGAAATCCTGTAGTCTGTGCCCGGTGGGGGGCGCTTTCAGGCCACACTGCTTGGGCAACGATGTAGTGTAAGATGCACGTGCGCTTCCAAAGGGGGCGCATAGTACCCCTACCCTTGTCAGAATTAACCTCAAGAGCGCGTCACGTGCGAAGCACTTGTTGGCGCCCACTCTCCAAAGTCGGCCATCGCGGAACTTCCGTGTCGCGCCCCCCCCAGACCGCGCTTCGGTCTGCCTCGACATTGCAGGGGTCGAGATTGAAGGGCCAGAAGGAAGCGACACTGAAGGAACAATTTCTGAGACTCATGTTGTGTCGAGGGGTTGTGGCATATGTCCTTCTGCGTCCCGAGGTGAGCGGCACGGAGCCCGCGAAGGGGTCCGCCTCAGGTGGCGCGGTCAGCCCCGTGCCGCCCAAGATGTGGCCCTCCTGGCCGGCCAGCAGCCCGTGGGTGACGGCCGTGGGCGCGACCCGCTTCGTGCAGCAGGACGTGTCGGCGCCGGAGATGGCCACCGACCAGTTCGGCAGCGGCGGCGGCTTCTCTGACATGTGGCCGGCGTTCCGGTCCCAGGCCTCGGGTCGGGGCGGTCGAGAGGGGTACGGACACAACGGGTACGATGCCCGACGGCAGTTCCTGCTCATTTTGGACAGGACTCGCTGTCTGCACCGCCGCGGGCGCTGTTCTTTCAAGACAACAAAGCCGCCTGCCCAACAGCGGCCGCTGTCCGTTTTGGACAGCGTGTGCTGTCGGGCGATGATGGACTCATTTGTTCCGTATCCGTCTCCGGCGTCCGAATCGGGTGGGTCGGTGGCCGCGAGCAGGAAGGGAACAAGCGCGGTGTAAGCATGCACTTCCTGAGGTCCATTTCCGGCGTCCGTATCGGCGTAAGCATGCTCATTTTTCCGTGTAAGCACGGTGTAAGCATGCTCATTTTTTCCGTATCCATTTCTGGCGTCCAAATCGGGTGGGTCGGTGGCCGCGAGCAGGAATCGGGGGAGCGTAAGACCCGGGTTTGCCAGGACTCGGGTTCGCCATCGTTTTTTGACGACCGCGCCTCGGATTTTGACGAGGAGGAGTTTCGTGGGATGTCTGCAGCGGGAGGCCTCGTCAAAATGCAGGCTCGGCCTCGTCATTTTTTTGACGACCTCGTCGGGGATTTCCGAGTCCCCTGTACCCAGGTCTTACGTCCCCCTGAAGGAAGGGAACAAGCACGGTGTAGGCATACACTTCCTGAGGTCCGCGCTCGCTTCTTCGATCGGCGCCGGGCCTCCGTGGGGGCGCCTCTGGCGCCGGCCCAGGGAGGGGTCGAGCTCCGAGCCAAGAAGTCCGCGCGCACCTCCTCCTCCTCCTCCTCCTCCTCCTCCTCCTCCTCCTCCTTCTCCTCCTCCTCCTCCTCCTCCTCCTCCTCCTCCCTGTTGGACCGCGGGCGGCGCGCCGGCAGAGTTTGGATGCGCGATAAGGATGCAAGGGCCTTGGACGCCCATTTCGAAGCTTCCCGAGCGGGGCGCGGCCAACGAAAGTGTCCAACGGTGGACCCAGGAAGCAAGGATGCAAGGGTACCCTTGGGAGGGATGCCTATCCTTACTCTGCGGGTCGACTGTACGCCGACTTTCTTCCTCTACTGGGACCAGGATGCTGCAAAGCAGGGCTCTGGAAACTCCAGCTGGAGAGGGGGAAGAGGGCTGTGAACACCTCGACCCGCGGCTGCGATTCTCTCGGGCGCGCCAGCGTCCTGGTTCCTCAGGAGCCCCCGTCGACGGGGTCGGGTCTAACGAACGGGGGGAGATTGAGGAGGGGGAGGAGGAGGGGAGGAGAAGGAGGAGGAGGAGGAGGAGGAGAGAGAGGAGGAGGAGGAGGGAGGAGGAGGAGGGGAGGAGGAGGGAGAGGAGGAGGAGGAGGAGGAGGAGGAGGAGGATGGGGATTGGGGGAGGGGGGCCTGCGAAATCTGTGGCATGATATGCAGTTGGTCTCGGCTCCGCCGCTGGGCCATCTCCTCGATGCGCGCCCCGGGGAACCAGCGAGCACGACCCGGACTCCAGATCCGCCCTACTTTGGCTTTTTTTCCCACTTAAAATTGCGTCGGAAATCCACCTATAAGAGGCCGAAAAAGTAGGGCGGAAATCGCTGCACCCAACATAAAATAGGGCGGAAATCCACAGAAACAGCAACAGAAAAGTAGGGCGGAAATTGGCATCAGCGGGGCTCGAAAAGTAAGGCGGAAATTCCAAGCCCTACTTACGAATTTCCCCAAAGTAGGGCGAATCCGGAGTCAGGGGAGCCGATCCGCAAATCCCCCTTCTTGCGGCCCCAGGCCTCCCCTCTGTTGGGCACAGTCAAGGCGGAGGTTTCCCGTCGTCTCGGGCGCCCGGGGAACTCGCCCCGAGGGGGGCCCAGCGCCGATCCAAGCAATCCGCGCGGAGCTCCGAAAGTGTATGTATATGCGTATGTGCAGGGCCTTCGCGCGTCCGGCCAATTAGTTTCGGCCGCAGCCCGACCGTTACTCGCCGCCGCTGGCGCTTCCGCCCGCGGCTGTAAAAAAAAGTATGTGCAGGGTTTTGTTATCCCTGAGTTTGCGGTCCTTCTCCTGAGAGGGCGCCGATGTGACATTGTGGATCCGCGGCCCCACGTCCCCTCCCTGGGGCCAGCTTCTTCCCCCGATCCATGTTTCATGTTTACACTGCCCAGTAAGGAGTCCCGGAAGCTGAATTCGAGAAAAAACCGAACGACCAACCCTCAATGAATCAAACAAACACACACGATGTATGAATTCTCTCGGCGGTGCCAACACGGACGGAAAGTCCGAGACCAATCGGAGCTGCCAGACGTGGCAACAGCTTTGGCCAAGCGTTGCAGCGACCGTTAGCAGCCTTGGCCTCTGACAGACCTGGCGCGCGTCCCACCACGTCAGGCGGGCGATCAAAGACAGGAGTCGAGCCAGAGCTTGACCGGTGGACCACACACTTTTTTGATTCGCCGGTCGAGAGCGAGCCTCTTCCGGTCGAAGCTCAGCGGGCCGCGCACAGCTTTCATGCACAGAGGAAGGAAAACGGACGGAGGGGCCTCACGTCAAGGCCAGGAGAGAGGGCAAAGCCCCAGGAGCAGGCGGTGCCGAAAGCGAAGTGCATGCAAAGGAGCGCTGTGAGCAGGAGCCGGGAGGCGAAGCACCGGGTCCAGTGGACCACGCGCATCGACAGTGGGCGACACAACAGATCGTCGGAGATCTGGATCTCGTCCGACCCGACAGTACTCGGGAGGGGAAAAACACACAGACACAATGAATCGTCGATCCTCCAGAAAATATGGGAAGTGGGGGGGAAGACAAAAACCCAGAAAATACAGGAAGATATGGGGGGTCCTGTTATTTGTGTGTCTTTATCTGTGTGCTTGTGGGCCCCTTCAAGATCGTCGGAGATCTGGATCTCGTCCGACCCGACAGTACTCGGGAGGGGAACAAACGCACAGACACAATGAATCGTCGCTCCCCCAGAAAGTATGGGGAAAAATGGGAAGCGGGGGGGAAGACAAAAACCCAGAAAACATAGGAAAATACGGGGGATCCTGTTATTTCTCTGTATTTATTTGTGTGCTTGTGGGCCCCTTCAAGATTGTCGGAGATCTGGATCTCGTCCGACCCGACACTACGCTCTCCCCCCCTCCTCTCCCGCCGATCTGCTGCTCTCCACCCGCGGCCCGAGAAGCCCCGACCTCTCCGCCCCTGGGTAGGCACCCCGTGGAGTGGACGGCTCCTCGGGGTACCCGGGGGAACTAAAGTCCGTCCAGGCGAAAATACCCCAGACATGCACCAAAAAGGTCAAAAAATATTCCAAAAATAGTCTCCAGACAATTTTTGGATTTTTTTTGTTATTTTGGGGGTATTTTTTATTTTTCGTCGACAATCCCCCTGTAGGGGGACACGCCCGACATAAGTCCAGGCGTGCTGTGCACGCCACGCTGGGTGTGGTTGGGGCCCTGCGAGCCGCGTGGGCGGAGGGCGCCCGGCGGCCGCCGGGGGCACTCCGTCCTGGCTTGCGGGGCCGGGGCTATACCGGCGGGTGGGCAAATGGCTGTGAGGCGGAGCATGGCCTCCAGCCGGGCCCAGGGGCTGAAGGGCGGAGCACGGACTCCTGCCAGGCCCGGGTTGTTGGTCCCGGCTGGGAGTCCCGGGCCAGAGGCCGAAATCGAAGAAAAGCCCACGGTCGACAAAGATTATATCATATATCGTCGGAGATGTGAGTTTCGCCCGACCCGGCAGGCCGCTGTCGTCGAGGAGTACCTCAGGACCGCGCCAGGCCTGCCGCCAAGCGGCTCCTTCCCGCCAGGCGGCCGCGCCACGCCGGACGTCTCCGCGCTCGGGGAGGGGTACCAGGTGGCTCGTTCCAGAAGCCCTGAATCAGGGTTAACGCTCGTGGACGACGACGACGGGAACGGCGACGACGACGACGACGACGACGACGACGACGACGACGACGACGGCGGCGGCGGCGGCGACAACGACGGCGTCGACGACGACAACGACGACGACGACGACGACGACGGCGGCGGAAGCGGCGACGACGACGACTGCGACCACGGCGACGACGACGACGACGCCGTCGACGACGGCAGTGGCGGCGACGACGACCACGACGACAACGACGGCGACGGCGGCGACGGCGACGACGACGACGACGACGGCGGCGGCGGCGGCGACGACGGCAATGACCACGACGACAACGGTGGTGGCGGGGGTGGCGGCGGCTGCGGCGGCGGCGGCGACAACGACGACGACGACGAGGGAGGACAACGACGACGACGACGCCGACGACGATGACGACGACGACTACGACGACGACGGCGACGGCGGCGGCGGCGGCGACGACGACGACGGCGGTGGCGACGACGACAACGGCCACGACGACGACGACAGCAACGACAACCGCAGCGGCGGTGGCGGCGGCGGCGGCGGCGACGACGACGACGACGACGACGACGACGACGACGACAACAACGACAACGACGGTGGCGGCGGCGACGACGACGACGACTGCGGCGACCACGTCAACGACGACGCCAGCGACGACGGCGGCGGTGGCGACAACGACGACGACGACGACGACGATGACGACGACGGTGGCGGCGACGACGTCGATGGCGACGACGACGACGGTGGCGGCGGCGGCGGGAACGACGACGACGGCGGCGGAAGCGACGACAACGACGACGAGTGCGGCGGCGACGTTGACGACGACGGCGACGGCAACGACGACCACGACGACGGCGGCGGCGACGACGACGACGACGTCGACAAGGACGACGACAACCACGACGGCGGCGGCGGCGACGACGACGGCGACTGCGGCAACCACGTCGACGACGACGCCAGCGACGATGGCGGCGGTGGCGACAACGACCACGACGACGACGACGACGACGACGACCGCGTCGGCGACGGCGATGAGGACGACGGTGACGACGACGGCGGTGGCGGCGGCGTCGGCGACGACGACGACGGCGGCGGAAGCGACGACGACGACGAGTGCGGCGACCACGCCGAGGCCGTTCACGACGACGACGCCAGCGTCGACGACGACGGCGGCGGTGACGACGACGACGACGCCGACGACGACACCGACAATGACGAAGACGACGATGACGGCGGCAGCGGCGGTGACGATTGCGTTGACGACGACAACGACATCGGCGGCGGCGACGACGGCGGCGACGACGTCGACGACGACGGCGGCGGCGGTGGCGACGACGACAACGACTATGGCGACGAAGACGACGCCGTCTACGATTACTGCGACGGCGGCGACGGCGACGACGACGACAACGCCGACGACGACATCGACGACGACGGCGACGACGACGACGAGGACGGTGACGACGGCGGCGGCGACGACGACGACTTCAACGACGACGAGTACGGCGACCACGACGACGCCCTGGACGACCACGACGCTGGCGACCACGACGACGACGACGACGACGACGACGACGACGACGACGACGGCGTCGGTCGCGGCGGCGGTGACGATTACGACGACGACGACGACGACGGCGGCGGCGACGACGGCGGCGGTGGCGACGACGGTGACGACGACGACGGCGACGACAACGACGGCGGTGGCGACGACGACGACGACTACGACGACGACCACGACGACGACGACGACGACGACGCCGACGACGACGACGACCACGACGACGACGACGACGACTACCTCGACGACGACGACGACGACGACGACGACCACGGCGGCGGCGGCAGCGGTGCCAACGGTGGAGACGAATACGTGGGCGGCGACCACGGCAGCGGCGGCGGCAACGGTGGCGACGACGACGACGACGACGACGACTTCGGCTACGACGGCGGTGGCGGCGGCGACGACGACGACGGCGACATCGACAGCGGCAGCGGCGGCGGCGACAACGACGACAACGACCATGACGACGACGATGGCGGCGACGGCGGCGGCGGCGGCCGCGACGAGGGCGACGGCGGCTGCGGCGGTGGTGGCGATCACGATGACGACGACGACGCCGACGATAATGACGACGACGGTGGCGGCGGCGACGGCGGCGTCAGCGGTTGCGACAACGACCACGACGACCACGACGACCACGACGACGACGACGAGGACGACGACGACGACGACGACGACGACGACGACGACGACGACGACGACGACGACGACGACGACGACGGCTTCGGCGGCGGCAGCGGCGGCGACGGCGGCGGCGGCGTCAATGATAACATCGCTAGCGCGAGTCCAATAGCGAGCAACTTAGAGGTTTTCTGGCCGCGCCGTCGTCGGTTCACTTTCGGCAGAGGGGACGAACGGGTCGGGCGGCCGCGCCGTCGCCAGAATTCCCAACCCCTCCTCCTTTTCAGGTCTTCTTGGTGTTCCCCAGGTGGCGGTCGTCCGTTTTTTGTTGCCCTCTCTTAGTGGTGGGGGGGTGGGGGGCGTCAGGTTTGCGACCCCCCCTTCTTTTTTTCCTGTTGGGTCCACGTCGTCGGTTCTGACGGTCCTTGGGTTCGATGTACATGATCACCCGGGATATGATGATGACGACCACGACGACGACGGCGACGACGACGATGACGACGATGGTGGCGACGACGACGATGTCGACGACGACGGCGACGGCGGCGTCGGCGGCGGCGGCGACGATGGCGACGCCGACGACAACGACGACAACGACGACGGCGGTGGCGACGACGACGACGAAGGCGGCGGCGGCGACGACGAATCGTTCGACGGCTGCGGCGGCGGCGGTTGCGACGACGACGACGACGATCACGTCGGCGATGCCAGCGAGGACGTCGGCGGCGCTGGCGACGGCGGCAGCGGCGACGACGACGACGACGACCACGGCGGCGGCGGAGTCGGGGACGACGACGACGACGGCGGTGGCGGAGGCGGCGGCTCCGACGACGACGACTTCGACGACCACGATGACGACGACGGCGGCGACGGCGGCTGCGACGGCAGCGGCGGCGGCTCTGACGACGACGGCGACGACGACCACGGCGACGTCGACGACGACGACAACGACGGCGGCAGAGACGGCGGCGGCGGCATCGACGACGACGACGACGACGAGGACGACAACGACGATGGCGGCAGCGGCGGCGACGACGACGACGACGACAAAGGCGGCGGCGGCGACCACGGTTTCGACGGCTACGGCGGCGGCAGTGGCGAAGGCGGCGGCGGCCGCTTCGACGACGACGACTGCGACGACCACGACAGCGGCGGCGACGGCGGCGGCTGCGATGACTGCGGTGGCGGCGGCGTTGGCGACGACGGCAGCGACGATGACGACGACGAGGACGACAACGACGACGGCGGTGGCGGCGGCGACGACGACGATGACGAAGGCGGCGGCGGCGACGACGATTTCGACGGCTGCGGCGGTGGCGGCGGCGGTGGCGACGACGACGGTGGCGGCGACGACGACGACGACTGCGACGACCACGACGACGACGGCGACGACGACGACGACGACGATAGCGGCGGCGGCGGCTGCGACGACGGCGGCGGCGTCGGTGTTGACGACGACGACGACGACGGCCGCGACGACGACGACGGCGGCGACGACGCGACGGCGGCGACGACGACTATTTCGACGGCGGCGGCGGCGGCGGTGGCGACGACGGCGGTGGCGGCGGCGGCGACGACGACGACGGTGGCGACGACGACTATTTCGACGGCGGCGGCGGCGGCGGTGGCGACGACGGCGGTGGCGGCGGCGGCGACGACGACGACGACGACGATGACGTCGGCGATGCCAGCGAGGACGTCGGCGGCGCTGGCGGCGGCGGCGGCCGCGACGACGACAGCAATGACGGTGGCGGCGGTGTCGGCTCCGACGACGACGACGACGACGACGACGACGACGACGACGACGACGACGACGACGACGACGACGACGCGACGGACGACGACGACGACGACGACGACGACAACGGCGGCGACGGCGGCGACGACGACGACGACGACGGCGGCAGCGGCGGCGGCTGCGACGACGGCGACGACGTCGACGACGACGATCACGACGACGGCGACGCCGTCTGCGATTACGACCATTGCGGCGACGGCGGCGGCGACGACGACGACGACGCCGCCGACGACGACGACGACAACGACGACGACCACGACGATGACGACGACGACGACGACGACGACGACGACGACGACGACGGCGGCGGCAGCGGCGTCGACGACGACAACGACGGTGCCGGCGGCGGCGGCTGCGACGACGGTGGCGGCGGCGGCGTTGACGACGACGGCGACGAGGATGACGACGACGACGACGACGACGACGACGACGACGCGCGACGACGACGACGACGACGACGACGACGACGACGACGACGACGACGACGACGGCGACGACGACGACGGTGGCGGTGGCGGCGGCGGCGGCGACGACGACGACGACGACGAGGACGACAACGTCGACTGCGGCGACGACGATGACGATGACTGCGGCGGCGGCGGCGACGAGGACGACGACGACAACGACGGTGGCGGCGGCGGCGGCGGCTCTGACGACGGCGACTGCGACGACCACGACGACGATGACGGCGGCGGCGGCGGCGGCTGAGACGACAGCGGCGGTGGCGGTGGCGGCGACGACGACGACGATGACGGCGGCGATGCCAGCGAGGACGTCGGTGGCGCTGGCGACGGCCGGCGGCGGCGGCAACGACGATGACTACGACAACGGCGGCGACGGCGGCGGCTGCGATCACGACGACGACGGCGGCGACGACGACGACGACGGCGGGCGGCGGCGGTGGCGGCGACGACGGTGGCAGCGAAAGCGACGACGGTGGCGGCGGAAGCGGACGAGACGACGACGACGACGCGACGTCGGCGTCGACGACGGCGACGACGACGACGACGACGACGGCGGCGGCGGCGGCGGCGGCGGCTCCGACGACGACGACTGCGACGACCACGACGACGCCGACGGCGGCGGCGGCTGAGACGACGGCAGCGGCGGCGGCGTTGACGACGACGGCGACGGCGGCGGTGGCGGCGACGACGACGACGATGACGTCGGCGATGCCAGCGAGGACGACGATGACGACGACGACGACGATGGCAGCGACGACGACGGCGGCGGCGACGACGACGATTCTGTCGGCTGCGGCGGCGGCGATGCCAGCGAGGACGTCGGCGGCGCTGGCGACGGCGGCGACGGTGGCGGCGGCGGTGGCGACGACGACGACGACGACGGCGGCGGCGGCTCCGACGACGACGTCCGCGACGACCACGACCACGACGACGACGATGACGACGACGACGATGACGGCGGCGGCGGCGGCGACGGCGGCGACCGCGGCGGCCGCGGCGACGACGACGAGGACACGGACGCGGACGCGGACGCTGACGCTGGCATCTTCCGTCGTCTGCGTCGTCGTCGTCGTTGTCGTCGGGCCGCATGTTGTTAGAAGTGGGCCCAACGATCGAGGTTGTCCGACAGTTTTGCTGGTTTTCGGCAGTTTTCCAGATTCGGGATGCTATCCAGCAGCTGCGCTTCGCCGAGAGCGTTTCAGGGGTGCCTGGACCGTACCGAACAGCCGCTGGAGAGCCGAGTGATGGCCCGAAGACCAAGGGCAACGTTAGGGGGGAATACAGTCAGCGGCCCTATCGCTGCCCCTCGCTGAACAGAAAAGTGCTCGCATCTCTGCGCGGGGGGGGCGGATTTTACTCATGCCAAGCTTCCGCCGCCCTTCGCTGGCGGAGCAAGCTTTACGTACTTCCGCCGACCTTCCGCCGGGGAAGGGATGCCGATCTTCTCTCGACCACCCTGAGATCCGAGGTTGCGAAAAAGTTGTAACATCGCGAGGATTCGCGACCAGAGCCCTAGACCCCGTCTTCCTGCGGCATTTTTCGAACGTCCAGATCTCAGGGTCCAGACATGCGATGTCCTCATGCTTCAAATGCGCGGTCCCCAGAAGTCCCGACCTTGTCCCTAGGGCCGGTTGTTCATTCACCAAGCGCGTTTCATTACTCGCAAGGTGCCTATTCGCAAACGTCCGAGAACTACCATGTTTTCCTCTATGCAATGGATCGTGAATCAATCCCCCGCGGCCGATTTAGTCCATTGGCGAGTAGTTACCCAGCGAGTAGTGGAACGCGGACGTCCATTCACCAGGAGTCGTTTGCTGACGGCCCTGGGGCCCGGCGAGGGCCCCTAGGCGCCGGAACGTCAAAAAAGCCTTGCCTTGAGTTAGTCAACGCCTTGGATTTCTCGACCCCTCGAGGGCGAGGCCGTTTCTGAAGCGCCGCAGGTGATGATCGGCGGGCACGTCGAGCCCATCGGCGGCACGTCGGCGTCCGCCCCCATGTTCGCCGCGCTGGTGTCCCTGCTGAACGAGGCGAGTTAATTAGGCGTGTTATCAAGGGCGCCCTCGAGGGCGCGAAGTCATTCGCGCTTCGCGGTTCGGCTCCGATTTCTCCTCGTCCTCCTCTTCTCCCCTGGCAGGCGGCCCGAGAGCGCGAAGTGGTTCGCGCTTCGCGCTCCGCGCAGCGCGAAGGGCGAAGTTGGGAGCCCTTGGTTACGTGCGTGAGAGTCATTTGAGGCACGAGTAGTTGTCTTCTACGGCTATTCAGCCATCAACTTTTCCTACTGCTTAGCAGTGGTCGTTAGTAGGCGCTATTGGACACTGAGAGGCGCCAGTAGGCGCTAAGAGGCGGAAGTATGATTGGTCGACACTGAAAGAGGCGATAGTAGGGTGGAGCCTGTCTCAAACCGCTCTCACGCGCAATGCACACGAGGCGAGGCTGGCCGCCAAGAAGCCGCCGATGGGGTACATGAACCCGTGGATCTACGCCCACCCGGAGGCCTCCGCTCTCGGGCCGGGCGAAAAGGGGGGATTGGGAAGCCGGACGCACGGCAGGCAGCTTTCGCCCCCCAGGGGCTCTTCAGCCGAAATGGCACTGCACAGAAGCATCGGATGAAAGGTCGCTCGCATGCACAGTTTTCTAAGAAAATCCAGGCCCTACCCTCCCTGCCACTGCCTGTCGGGCCGGGCGAAAGGGGGGGATTGGGAAAGGGGGGGTTACGAAATTTGCTGCATGCAGCTGGTCTCGGCCTCGCCGAGGGGCCATTCCTCGATACGCAACCGCCTCCGGCGCCAGGAGGCGCCGGGAGAATCAGCCACGTGAGCTGATTCTCAGCCCCCCCCTTTGCTATCCCCCCCCTTTCGCCTGACCCGACGCTCGCAGCGGAGGGGCAGGGTCCGAACCGGCGTGCGCCGGCGGAGTTCCCGCTGGTTTGAAGCAAACGGGGTGGCCGTGGTCGGCGTTTTTCAGGAGGGGAAACAAACAACACACAGACACAATGAATCGTCGATCCCCCAGAAAATGTAGGAAAATATGGGAAGTGGGGGGGAAGACAGAAGCCAAGAAAATATGGGAAAAGATAGGGACTAGGTTTATTTTGTGTGTATTTAAAGGCTGCCGCCTCTGCCGCCGACCCCAAATAAATGCATGTATTGTTTGTGCGTTGCGTCGGTTGGGGGGAGACCTCCCTCTCCCAAATCCCTCGTACTGGGCTCCTGGGGGAAGGGGTTGCTGAGGTGGCATCATTTCACACGCCGACGGAGTTCAGGAGGAATCTTGGGCCTTCTTGGAGCCGTCTTGATGTCGCAGAAGCCTGTTATCATGCGATCTGGGAGTCTTTCGGAGGTTTTCGTTTGCTATCTTGAGCCATGTTGTGCTTCCTTGAGCCATCTTGGACGTCATCCCGGGCTGGGGTTCATCTTGGGCTCGCTGAGGCCCTCTTGGAGCCATGTTGGGTCCTCTTAGGCGCCCCATCCCTCGCGACGCGCGCCGAAGGGCTAAACTCGTCCCCGAAGGGGAAGCGGGCGGTTGCCAAAGGAATCTCTCGAAACCACCTACGCTCAAAGGGGCTTGAGGGACCACCTGTGGGCTTGGTCGGGGCTTCTTTGGGATGCTCCTTGGGGGCTTATTCGGGCCCTGCTCTGGGCCGGTTCGGAGGACAATCGAGCAGAGAAAAGGCTGGGCTCGAGTAAGCCCTCCCCTTGTCGGAGCCCCCGAATCCCTTGCCTTAAAACTTCTTTCGGCGGCCTCTTGGGGCGTCTCGGCGGCCTCTTGGGGCGTCTTCGAGGCCTCTTCGACCGTCTGGGAGGCGTCAAGGATCCTCTTGGGCCGTCTTGGGCGGCTCTTGGGCCGTCTGGGAGCCTTTTTTGGCCGTCTGGGAGCTCTCTTGGGCCGTCTTGGGGGCGTCGTGGAAGGTTTTGTGTCCGTTTTGGAGCGGTCTTGGGAGCTTCTTGGGCGGTCTTGGAGCGTCGGAAAGCCGAACAGGCGAAAATGCCAAAAACATTGAAAAAATAATTATCCTGGCGAAAGACCCAACCATAAGCAATTGTTGGTAACGCGTTGTGGGTGCCGCTTTCGGTGGGGCTCCATATGGGGCCACGAAGCGCTGCCTTGGATGGGGGAACCGCATGCGGACTGCGCCACCGGGGCGGGCCTTCGGTGGAGCTCCCTATGGGGCTACGAAACGCTGCCCTGGGTGGGGGAACCGCATGCGAACTGCGCCACTGGGGCCTTCGGTGGAGCTCCCTATGGTGCCACGAAACGCTGCCCTGGGTGGGGGAAGCGCATGCGAACTGCGCCACGGGGGCTTTCGGTGGAGCTCCCCATGGGGCCACGAAACGCTGCCCTGGGTAAGGGAACCGCATGCGAACACCCCCACTGGGGCCTTCGGTGGAGCTCCCTATGGGGCCACGAAACGCTGCCCTGGGTGGGGGAACCGCATGCGAACACCCCCACTGGGGCCTTCGGTGGAGCTCCCTATGGGGCTACGAAACGCTGCCCTGGGTGGGGGAACCGCATGCGAACACCCCCACTGGGGCCTTCGGTGGAGCTCCCTATGGGGCCACGAAACGCTGCCCTGGGTGGGGGAACCGCATGCGAACACCCCCACTGGGGCCTTCGGTGGAGCTCCCTATGGGGCTACGAAACGCTGCCCTGGGTGGGGGAACCGCATGCGAACACCCCCACTGGGGCCTTCGGTGGAGCTCCCTATGGGGCCACGAAACGCTGCCCTGGGTGGGGGAACCGCATGCGAACACCCCCACTGGGGCCTTCGGTGGAGCTCCCTATGGGGCTACGAAACGCTGCCCTGGGTGGGGGAACCGCATGCGAACACCCCCACTGGGGCCTTCGGTGGAGCTCCCTATACGAAACGCTGCCCTGGGTGGGGGCGCATGCCCCACGCGAACACCCCCACTGGGGCCTTCGGAGGACCGCATGCGAACACCCCCACTGGGGACTTCGGTGGAGCTCCCTATGGGCCACGAAAAACGCTGCCCTGGGTGGGGGAACCGCATGCGACACCCCCCACTGGGGCCTTCGGTGGAGCTCCCTATGGGGCTACGAAGCGCTGCCCTGGGTGGGGGAACCGCATGCGAACACCCCCACTGGGGCCTTCGGTGGAGCTCCCTATGGGGCTACGAAACGCTGCCCTGGGGGGGGGAACCGCATGCGAACACCCCCACTGGGGCCTTCGGTGGAGCTCCCTATGGGGCCACGAAGCGCTGCCCTGGGTGGGGAACCGCATGCGAAAACCCCCACTGGGGCCTTCGGTGGAGCTCCCTATGGGGCTACGAAACGCTGCCCTGGGTGGGGGAACCGCATGCGAACACCCCCACTGGGGCCCTTCGGTGGAGCTCCCTATGGGGCCACGAAACGCTGCCCTGGGTGGGGGAACCGCATGCGAACACCCCCACTGGGGCCTTCGGTGGAGCTCCCTATGGGGCTACGAAACGCTGCCATGGGTGGGGGAACCGCATGCGAACACCCCCACTGGGGCCTTCGGTGGAGCTCCCTATGGGGCCACGAAACGCTGCCCTGGGTGGGGGAACCGCCTGCGAACCCCCCCACTGGGGCCTTCGGTGGAGCTCCCTATGGGGCCACGAAACGCTGCCCTGGGTGGGGGAACCGCATGCGAACACCCCCACTGGGGCCTTCGGTGGAGCTCCCTATGGGGCTACGAAACGCTGCCCTGGGTGGGGGAACCGCATGCGAACACCCCCACTGGGGCCTTCGGTGGAGCTCCCTATGGGGCCCCGAAACGCTGCCCTGGGTGGGGGAACCGCATGCGAACACCCCCACTGGGGCCTTCGGTGTGGAGAGATCCTTATTATCTTTAGTTTATTTTCCTCTTCCGATTGTTTCTTTCTTATTTTTTTTCCTTTCTTAACCGTCTTCTTTTTTTTTCTCCATTTCCCCTTTTCTATCTTATGCATCCTTTTGATTGTTTTTTTACTGTTTTATTTTTTTTTTTTTCATTTTTAGTACTTTTTGCTGTTATTTTTTTTTGTACTTTCTTTTTTCTTTATTCTTCTTTCTATCCCTTTCTTAGTGGTGGTTGTTTTGTTTACCTCCCTATGGGGCTACGAAACGCGTGAGAGGTGCGCCGAGAGCAGAGGCAAGGAGGGGGAGGGGGGAGGAGGGGGAGGAGGAAGGAGGGGAACGCGGGGCACCGTCTCTTCAAAACGAGGACCCAACGCCACAGGATGGTTGGGAATGAGAAAACAACGATTTTGGCCTCTTGGGGCCCTCTGTGGAGGCCTCTTGGAGGTCTCTTGGTGCGTCTTGGAGGTCTCTGGGGGCGTCTTGGAGGCCTTTTGGGGCCTCTTGGAGGCCTCTTGGGGCGTTTAGGCGGCCTCTTGGGGCGTCTTGGTGGTCTGGGAGGCGTCAAGGAGCCTCTTGGGCCGTCTCGGGCGGCTCTTGGGCCGTCTGGATAGGCCTTGTGGGCCGTTTGGGGGCCATCGTTTTTGGAGCTTCTTGGGCGTTCTTGGAGCGTCGGAAAGGCGAAAAGGCGAAAATGCCAAAAACATTGACAAAACAATGAAAATCAACGACTTTGGCTTCTTGGGGCTCTCTTTGGAGGCCTCTGGGAGGTCTTTGGAAATGTTTTGGAGGTCTCTTGGGGCGTCTTGGAGACTTCTTGGGGCTTCTTGGAAGCCTTTTGAGACGTCAGGCGGCCTCTTGGGGCGTTTTGGAGGCCTCTTGGCCCGTCTGGGAGGCGTCAAGGGGCCTCTTGGGCCGTTTTGGGTGGTTTTTGGGCCGTCTGGATAAACCTTTTGGGCCGTATGGGGGCCGTCTTCTTTGGAGCTCCTTGGGGGGTCTTGGAGCGTCGGAAAGCCGAACAGGCGAAAACGTCCAAAACATCGAAAGAACCAATGAAAATGAACGATGTTGGTGGTCTCTTGGGGCGTCTTGGAAGCCTCTTGGGGCGTCTTGGAGGCTTCTTGGGGCCTCTTGGAGGCCTCTTGGGGCGTCTCGGCGGCCTCTTGGGGCGTCTTGGCGGTCTGGGAAACGTTCAGGAGCCTCCTGCGCCGTCTTGGGCGGCTTTTGGGCCGTCTGGATATTTCTTTTGGGCCGTCTGGGGGCTTTCCTGGGCCGTGTTGGGGGCGTCGTGGAAGGCTTCTTGGACCGTCTTGGAGCGGTCTTGGGTGCTTCTTGGGCGGTCTTGGAGCGTCGGAAAGCCGAAAAGGCGAAAATGCCCAAAACATTTAAAAAACAACCAATGGACATCAACGATTTTGGCCTCTGGAGGCCTTCTTTGGAGGCCTCTTGGAGGTTTCTTGGGGCGTCTTGGAGGTCGCTTCGGGCGTTTTGGAGGCCTCTTGGGGCCTTTTGGAGGCCTCTTGGGGCGTTTAGGCGGCCTCTTGGGGCGTCTTGGAGGCCCCTTGGACCGTTTTGGGGGTGTCTTGGGAGGGCTCCTGGCTTGTTTTGGAGCTGGAGAGCGGGCCCGGGGAGCCCAGACCCCCTCGGGTAAGTTCGTGGGGGGACCGGGCTGGGCCCGGGGGGGGGGAGTTCCAAATGCGGGATTGTTGTCCCGGGGGGGAGGGGATTCTGGGGGGGAATCATCCCACACGCCTACAGACCCACAAGGGGTCGGCGGATTGTTTGATGAATGTCAGAGCCGTTCTTTCGCCATTTCGAGCTAGCTTGAACGATCCTTCGAGAGAGGTCTGCCAACTACGTAGGACCACCTTCCGTTTGGATTCGAACTCTGCAGACTCGACGGTGTTGGCCGCTGGCGATTGATTACGTTCTCGGCCGTCCGAGCTCGTCTTCATCACTGAAGGACAGGATCGGACGGGGCGACTACGCTCTCCTGCTGCCACTGCCGCTCATCTTCCCCTCTCTCTCTCTCGGTTCAAGGCATGCTCACGCGCTATTGATTAAATGTAGATCCATGCGGCACTCGATGGCGCCCCTTGCACCAAGTGCATATGCAAGGCGGCTGGGGCAGCTGGTGTAGAAGGAGGAGGGGTAAGTAGGAAGAGCAGGAGGAAGGGCTAGTATGATAGGCATGGGCATGGGTAGCAATTGAACATCGTGTCGGTATCGGTGCAGGTGTGGGAGTAGGCATGGGTGGTTCGCGTGTAAGTCTGGGAAACGGGAGGGTTCATGAGTAGGAGGGAGGACGAGGGTCAGACGCATGAGTCGGAGGAGGAGGAGTTCCAGGAGCAGAAGGAGGAGCAGTGGCATGATACGGAACGTACTCGAGCGGAGTGGCGGCAGCTGCTGCGGCAAGTGCTGGTTTTCTCCAAAATCGCAAGTGGAGACGAGGTGAGGGGCGAGGTGGAGGGTATCGGTCGTTTTTGGACGAGAAATCGCAGGGGTCGGGGATCCCAAGAACAGAGCCTAGAGGCTTGGGGATGTCGAGGGGGGGTGGGGGCGAGGTGGGGGGCGAGGTGGGGGGTATCGGTCGTTTTTGGGCGAGAAATCGTGGGGTCGGGGGTCCGAAGAACAGAGCCCAGAGGCCTGGGGATGTCGAGGGTGGGTGGAGGCGAGGTGGGGGGCGAGGTGGGGGGCGTCGGTCGTTGTTGGGCAAGAAATCGTGGGGTTGGGGGATCCAAGAACAGAGCCCAGGAGCCTGAGGAGGTCGAGGGGGGCTGTCGTGGCTCAAGGCAGCGCGGTCTTATTTGCTAGTTGCGCGTCCGCGTGCGATTCTATTGGGATCATAGCATTGGACAAACGCCACGTCTATCTATGATCCGCCCCTCTATCCCATGGCTTCTCTCTCACCTCTCGTCATGCTTGCCGTCAAGGGATGAGTTGCGGGATACCTCGATACGTCGCCGACGTTATCCTAAGAGTAGGGTTCTCAGCTTAGTACCTCATGGTCAAGCCCAACACCCTCACTGTTCAGTTGGTAGCGTTGGTAGCGGATCTGGCTACATCTTCATGTGGCTGGCATTTCCATCAGGTGTTACGTACATGACAACTCACCACGGCACAGTGGAGTACCCGACTGCGCCGGCTATCAGCCACTACACTTCCAAGGTTCTCGAACCGACTCGTAACTTACAGTCCTATACCTCCATCTCCCCACCGCGTGGCCACACGCCGCGCGCAGCCCAAACACCGATATCTATCCGCAAGCTGACGGCCACGTCAGACCAGGCACCCAGTCGCAACCCAATGGACGCGCGCGACAATATCCACTGAAAAGCAACCTAACATCATCAGCTACACCATGAACAGGCACGATGTTCAGGTCGTCATTTTTGGAACTATCTGGGTATGCCTGGGCTTTGCCGTGGCGTGCATGCGAGGAGGAGGACTGGATGACACACGCATTCGAGGTCCTTTCTGGGACCCCGCAGGCAACGTACCCTTTTCGCGACGTTGTTCGCGAAACACACGCATGGCTTAATTTCGCAAGCGGAAGCATGACTCCACCTCAACAGGCCGCCGCCTTACAGCGCGGTCTGGGAGGGCATTGGCTAGGACACTAACCAGGAGGGTGCCGTCCACCTTTTATCAAGTATGGTGTCACGTTATAAGGGAAACACACCGACGGAGTCACAGACGTCATGTACCGATTAAGTTCCAAATTCGACAACCTTGAGGACGAGCGACAGCTCACCTTGGGGACAACCATCATCGACTGCAGGTCGGTAGAGGCGAACGCATTGACTCAGTGCTGGCCCGGTTCGAGATGGCCAGGCTGGAAGCAGATTCGGCGGGTTCAAACATTCCCCACTTCCAGATGTAGTCTGATCTTATTTCGCGCCTTCGGGGTTCGTGCTTCCCGAGCGGCACAGCTGCTGCAGCCGCCGAACCATCAGACGCCCCGTGCGCAACAACTGCGCGACCAACTCCTGGAGCGCGCGCGCAGCCGTGGACACTTGGCCCAGCGTTCCCCAGGCAACATCGGGAACATCTTCAGCGGGCGCAACGCTTGCACTTCCTACGCCGCGATAAGTGACGCACCGGCACCCATGCCGAGTAACATTTGGAATGGTGGGGAACCCAGTGAGCCCACTACGCTTATACGGCAAGGCGCCAACAATAAGAACGAACAGGTGTCTAGCTCAAGCGCGGGCTGGCCATCAGCAGCTAGCTACACGCCACCTGAAGCGACTGTTCCCTGGGGCTCACCCAGCCTGGCGGCGTCGTCGTCGTAGTGGTCGTCGTCGTCGTTGTCCGTCGTCGTCGTCGTCGTCGTCGTCGTCGTTCGTGATCGTCGTCGTCGTCGGTGGCGGCGGCGGTCGTCGTCGTCGTCGTCGTTGTCGTCGTTCGTCGTCGTGGTCGTCGTCGTCGTCGTCCTTCGTCGTTGTCGTCGTCGTCGTCGTCGTGGTCGTCGTCGTCGTCGTCGTCGTCGTTCGCCGTCATCGTCGGCGGCGGCGGCGTTGGCGGCGGCGGCGGCGGCGTTGGCGGCGGCGGCGTTGGCGGCGTCGTCGGCGTCGGCGTCGGCGTTGGCGTCGGTGTCCCCTTCCCCATCCCATCTGTGCAGGTGGATGGAGGGGCCTGTGGAACCTTGGGACCCATCCCATCTCGTGAGGGGGACTGTGAACCCTCGACCTGGGATTATATATGCGCACCTAGATGGGCAAGTCGGCCAGCAACAGTTGCGACAGTGGGGATACGGATCGGTCAAACGATCCTCAACCCCGGTCCGACCAGCCCGGCCTTCGATATCGATCCCAGCCGGCCCGGTCCCGCCATTCCGACAGTGCGGTGCTGCCAGTTGCCACTGCACGGTGCCGCTTTGCAGTTTGGCACAGCCGATCCGATTCAGGGCCAATTCCGCGCAGATGCAGCCCGACTCGATGTTCGTTGCCATCCGATCGGACGTGCGATTCCGTAGTGGTTGCTCCTACCCTGCGCAGTTGCTTGCTCCTCTTCACTCAAATGTGGCTGCGTGTGTCATGGGCCACTTCAGGAGGATCGCGCTTCGCTTCGTCGAGCATCTCTTTCTAGCCACACGTGAAGACACAAGTCACTGACTGTTCTCAGTGTGTTTTACCTAGGTCACTTTGAATGGCCCAGCGGGCCCTGATGTTTCATCTTAGGGCGGCAGCTGCTCGTGGGCTTGTTTGCGAGAGAGAAACAGTGAATACCCAACTCACGGTGCGCTGCCTTGGGCTTCTGACCTTCAGAAGCGGACGGCGCAAAGGATTCTCACCAGCGCCAGGACCGTTGAATTTCAGTAGTAGATCGGCCATGCCGCGCCACATCAAGGGTATCCGTGTGCCAGCTGTATCACGTCTCATGCCCTCTGCATTCCTGGGGCGAGGGTCGTGTCCCCAGAAGAGTCTTGTGTCCCTTCGCGTGCCGTCTCCAATCAAACTCGACTGCATAGACAAATGCAAACCGACTTGGGTATGAGATCGATCGGATCGTGACGCTTGGTCACCCATCACACGCCCCACACGCTCACTCGCCCTCCACGCGTCCTCGCCCCCCGCGTACGTCTTGCGTATCATTGGACGTCTTTTTATTTTAGCCGTTGCTCTGGATATGTTTCACATGATGAATGTTTACCAGCGTGGACCCCAAACAGTAAGGTATTGCACTGGATGTGTGAGCTATGTGGTGCGAGGTATGTGGTGTGACTTCAGTGGTGCAAGCTGTGTGGTATAAGCTATATGGTGCAATATACTTGGAGCAAGCTCTGTGGTGTAAGCTATGCAGTGCAAGCTTCGCGGTGTTATGCTATGTGGAGAGGCGGCATCGAGGCGGCACGGGCGGCAACGAGGCGGCACCAACCGGGCACAAGCCTAAACCCGACACACACAGCGCATCAAGCGGCAACGAGGTGGCAACAAAGAGGCACCAGCCGAACCCCCAACACACCCAGCCCAGTGCGCGAGGCGGCAACGAGGCGGCACCAACCTGTCACCAGCCGAAAGCCCGACACTTGCACCCAAATCCCTTGTAATCTGAGTAAGAACCTCCAAGTGCAAGACTTTTTGGGGAAAACGGCATGAACTGAATCTGTCGGAGGTCCGGGCGGATTTCCTGGGTTGGCGCCAGACCCCCCTTGGCGGCGCCTCCAGCGCCCGCCGTTCCTGGCGCGCTCCGCGTGCAAGGGGAGCGGGGCCCAGCGCCGACCCAAGAGATCCTCGCAGGCCTGCGAACCTGTATGTCTGTGCCGCGTTTTTTTCTATTATCGGGACAGCGAGGACTGCTCATGTGTGGACTACAGCATGTTCACGCCACGCTTCTGCGCCCTCTGACTGAGGCGATGCTGGCGGCCGTCGGGCAGGTTATGCCTTGCTATCTCAAGTTCCCCGGCTTCTTCAAGGCGGGGTCTTACGTCGATTTTGAATGAAGATTGGTAGAAAGGCATTTCCAGCGAGCGTTCGTTCTTGTCTACTTAGGGTGCTTCTCGTGTCCCCACCAGCCCATCCAAGAACGACGCTCAGGCGAGCTACCTTGATCACTTTGTGAGCCGTACATGTCCAGGGGCCCAGGAATGAGTTGTACACACACCGAAGGGGGAGGGGGAGGAGGGAGGGGGAGGAAGGAGGAGGGGAAGAAGGAGGAGGAGGAGGAGGAGGAGGAGGAAGAGGGGGAGAAGAGGTGGCGGATGCGAAGGGCAAGCATAAACAAACAGAGTTTGATGGAACACGTTCCCATTAACGTTCTCGCTTGTGACGCTTAGGGCCCATCTGCCCATCCAGAAGCGACGCCCAGGCGAGATGCCAGGAGAAGGGATGACGAGAAACACGCAGTGAGAGAAGGGGGACGAGCCTCTAGAGCTTTCTGGGAACTCTTGGGGACCTTGGGGTCCTTTTGAGGCCATCTTGGAGGCCATCGATCACAGGAGGCCACTCGGAGCCGTCTTGGGGCGATTTTCTGGCCTCTTGGAGGTATGTTGGAAGCTACCTCCTTGGGCTATCTTGAGCGATACTGGAGGCCATCTTGGATTATCTGGGCCCACCTGGAGCCATTTTGGGCCATCTTGGACGCTCGAACGACCCGCTATTACCCTCTACAGACCCAGGGGTAGGGGGCAGTTGGATGAGTAAAGTCATCCCCGAATGTGAAGAAGGGGGCTGGAGTAACTAACTCCCTAAGACACCTGCGTCCAGATGGCTGTTGGGACTCTGTGACTGTTCTCCTTAGCGTTGGCCTTATAGACCATGCCACGCCAGGTGTGCTCTCTGCAGATCCCGCGTCCCGCAAGACACCCAGTGTATCGAGTGGTAAGGCTCTCTCCCTCTCTCTCGCCCTCTCTCCTTTCCTGCTGTAAGTTATGTTATGTGCCTTTGGTCGAATATGGATATTACCTTGGCGAATGATCATGCTGTATCAGCTGTCCTTGTCGGAATAGAACCAATTAGGTGGCATTGTTGTGGAATGTGGACGAGCAATCCATGCACTGTACGAACGCGTGCCGAGCATATCAGATCACGCAGGGCGATGGGGGTGTTGAGGATTGGATAGGAGGACGCGGGGGAGGGAACCGAGAAGGTGGAGGGAGACGGACACAACTCCCACTTCTTCCATTACCTGGCGTTGTGCCAGCTCATCATGCCGCTAACCGGTAGCCGATATTTCCAGAGGGCTGCGCGTCGGTGTAGCCACGGTGTTCGGTCCCCACTCTTCTGGCTGCGCGCCTCCTCGCTTCCTCCCTCCCCCACCCCTCCCTCCCTCCCTCCCTCGTCGTGGTCGTCCCCCATCTCCTCCCCGCGGGAAGAGACCAACGGGCGCCAGAGTTGGCCCCCCTCCCCCTTCGCCAAGGGGACCTGTGGGGACGCAGGGGGGCTTCGACTTGGAACGCGCGTATTACACTTAGGCCCAGCAAGGACAAATCCAGCACAACATTAGCTGAGAGGAGGAGGAGGAGGAGGAGGAGGAGGAGGAGGAGGAGGAGGAGGAGGAGGAGGAGGAGGAGGAGCAGGAGGAGGAGGAGGAGGAGGAGGAGGAGGAGGAGGGAGGAGGAGGAGGAGGAGGAGGGGAGGAGGAGGGACTGCAGCAGTGGCGGCCAGGCGAGGGAAGGGAAGAGGAAGAGGCGCCAGGGGGACGGGGGGCGGTTGGGGTGGTCGAAAAGGTCGTGGGGGGTGACGGCGTCGACGTCGCGGGGGCGGGGGCGTGGGCCGTGGGTGGGGCAGGGGCGGGGTCGTCGCGCGGCTCTTGCGGTGGTGGCGAAGGTGGTGGCCGCGGTGGTTGGTGGTGGCCGCCGTGTCGTAGTCTGGCCCTTGTCCTGGTCGTAGTGCTGGTGGTTGCCGCGGCGGCTGTCGTGCTGGCGCTGTTCGTTGTCGTGGGGGCTTCGCGCCCGAGCGCGCTCAGCAGCATCTCAGCATTGCCCCTTTGGAGGGTCCTGCTGATCTGCCGCCAAAGGCCGCCCAGCAGCTCGGAGCGGTCGGTGTCGTCTAAACCGGCTCCGTAACTGCGGACAAAGCTGGCTGCTTCGTCGCTGGGCCAGCCCCTCGTCTCGAAGACAAGGGGGACCAGTTTTCCTCCGTGCGGAGGGTACCGCTCTTGCTTCTGTTCCACCGCCTGCGCGGCCGCCAGCCCGTCTCTCTCCGCCCGGGCACCCCTGCGTGCATCGTAAGTTGAGTGTACGCATGTGTTGCTCCAGTCGATGAAGATCTGGCGGCCGCTGGCTGGGTCGCTGGTGGAAAGGTTGAGCACTGCCTGTTGGAGCTCGCCCGTGCGGGGGTGGTGGCGGTCCCAGGCCGGGACGGCCTGCTCCGTGGGCGCCGCGAAGCCAGTGAGCTTTTTTGCGCTTCGCGGAGTGCCAATCGCGACAACTGTTGTGGCGATCGTTGCGCGACGCGCTTACCTCGCAATTAACTGCGTGCCAGCCGTGCGGGTCGAGGGGCTCGTTGCAAAGACTCCCATCCTGGCGACGGTGCTGACAACGGGAGCCAGGCGGGCAGAGTGGGATGCAGCCGGCGCTTGAGGTTGCAGCTGAAGTGCGGGTCTGGTTGGAGAGGGTCTTCGGGCTGGCGCGGGAGGAGCCAGTTGCCAGCTCCAGTGCCCCCGTTTTCCCGCAAGCGCAAGCGGTAGTCCTCGTCGTGCGCCTGCAGCAGCTTCTCCCTGTTGGCCGCGGAGGTAGCTTTACCCCAGAGCCCCTGCAGCTTGGGCGCAGGTTCTGCGGCGCAGCCTATCCAGTCGAGGGGCGACTGGAGAGCGTCGGCCGCCCTGAGCGTTGCCGCCGCCTGTTCGAGCGTCCGTTGCGTCCGCGGGCAGCGGGCCCGAAATTCCTCCAGCGAGTTGGCCCCGAGGCAAGCCATGACGTCGTGGAGCAGGAGAGCCCAGCCGGCGGCGCAGGCGACGGGGGCGTGTGGGTGGCCGAAGAGAAAGCGCACCCGCCGTCGGCAAGTCGCAGGGTGGCTTGGAGGCGCTGTCGGGCGTCCAAGGGTCCGCCAGCAAGATGCTCGAAGCAGCCGAACAGGACTCGGTCCAGCTGTCCACTCCCCCTGCAGGTTGGCGCGGAGGTGGTGCGTGACGCATCCGCGAGCGAAGGTCAGGAGGAGAGCGAAGGCGCTCTCAGCCCGTAGGCCCGCCTGTCGCAGCTCTTGTAAGCGGGCAGCAAACGCCGCTACCTTGTCCACGGCCGTGGTTCCGTCTAGCCCAGCGTGGACGGCCACTCGTTCTTGCTCCTCTCCTTCTCCTCTCCTGCTCCAGCCAAGGGGCGGTGTTCCCCAGGCAGGCGAGGTTGTCCACCCAGCGCCCCTGTGCGGCGGCAGGCAAGTGGCCGCGCAGGAGAGTCTTCGTGCGGTTGACTGCAAGTCCGTGTCGCGTAAGGTAGTCAGTGACCACCTGGATGGCTGCGTCCGCTTGCTCCGGCGGGACGACGACCATGATGTCGTCGAGGTAGCCGAACACCCTGCAGGAGGTCGAGAGGGTCTGGAGGCGCGCGCAGACATCGTCTAGCGCGTCCGCAATTGCGAAGAGCGCCGGCGAGAGCGGACACCCCTGGTTCACGCCGCTGGTTGCCCGAATGTGGTGGGCGTCTTCGGCGGGGTCGTCCCACCAGTAGTGCTGCGTGGCCCCCGTGAGCCAGTGGTGGGTGCACTGGAACAGCCGCGGGGCCCGCCGACGCAAGCTGCCCAGCACCCTGTCGCGGGGGACGCTGTTGAAGGCGTTAGAGCAGTCGAACGCCAGGGCGACCCCGAGCGGGCAAACCTCCGAGAGGGCTGTAAGGCACTTGTGCACGAGCTCGCACCCCGCCGCACGCCCAACAGCATATTGGCGGTGGCCGACTGCGCCCTGTATGTGGTCCTTGCAGACATAGCAGGCGGCTCTCGCAGCGAGGCGGCGGAGGACGGAACCGCAAGCAATCGGCCGAAGAGTTCCGTTTCGCTTGCGCTGGGCCAGAAGCCGGGCACCCAGGTTGGCTCGCGTCGCTTCGTGGGTGAGCTCGCCGAGCAGGAAGGCAACCGCGACCCTGGCCACTGCCTCCAGAGCGTGGGTGTCGGCAAGCAGCGTGCGCCAATGTTCAAAGCGGCTGCCGTTTGGGCCAGGTCCAGAGCGGCGCGGGCTCGTTGCGAGGCTCTTGACCACGGCCGCGGCCAGGGCGGCGCGAGCGTCGTCGGCTGGCGCTGTTGGCGCTTCCAGGAGGTGCTGTTCTGGCTCCTTTCGAAACAAGGCTTTGGAGGCCAGCCTGGACCCCAGCCCCAGAGGCCAGCGCGCTTGGTCGGAGGGCTCGCTGCATTGCCTTGCTGACGAGGAGCTCGTCCGTCAGCGACTCTCCCGTTCGCGCGTCCTGCTTGGTTGTCGGGGCACTGTCTCCTCTTCTCGGCGCGTGGCTTGTAGTCGTAGTGGACTCGCGCCAGAGACCTCCCCAGTCCCCTTCTTCCGCCATCCGCATGCGTCGCGTTAGGGTGCGTGTCAGGCCGCCCGAGTTGCGCGCCTTCTGGCCCCCGCGGGTCTTCCCAGGCTTGAAGAGCAGCGCTCTGTCAAAAAAACGTGAACGCCTTCTCTGCCCGGGCCTGCGCGGCGGCGTCGCCAGCAGTCCTCGCGGCAAGGGGTCGTTCGGCGACGTGTCCGCGGATCTGGGCCAAAGCTGCGATCACACTCGTTCCCTCTCTCGTTCCCTCCCTCGTTGCCTCCCTCTCTCCCTCGTTCCATCCCCATCCCCTCCCTCACTCGTTCCCTTCCTCGTTCCCTCCTTCCCCTCCCCCCTTCCCTCCCTCCATACCCCCCCTTCCTCCCTCCCCCCATCCCTCCCGCATTCCTCATCGGTTTCACGCCTGTCCCGCCGCACGCAGCAAGGGACAAGCTCAGGGGATCCGTGCTCGCCTCATCGGGCTGCGCGCGTGGCGAGGGAGGCGGAGGGCGGCCCACTCAATCTGCTGGCTGTCTCGCGCACTGTGCCCCTTCTTCACGGCCTATTCTGGCATGCTGGACTCCCCTTTCCGATCAGGTGGGAAACTGCAATTTTTCATCCTCGCTTCCTGTCTAGGATCAAACGGGGAAGGGGATGGGTAGCGTGGCGCGGAGGGGGCTTCGGATAGGCGGGCAGGGTGACGGCGGCGGGCGAAGCGGCAGCGTCGGGGACGAGCGCGGAGACGCGGGGGCGGGACGATCTTCTCACGTCCCCGATTCTAATCATTGCGCGCGCTTCGGGCGCACCCATAGCCTCGGCGGTGTAAGGATGGGGCCCTGAGGGGTGGGGCCCTAAGGACGAGTGTCTTCGAGCAGTGAAGGTGAAGCTTGGGGTCGCTCCCATGCCCAGGGCCCTATCAATCAGGACCCACATCTCTGAAACGCCGATGGATTATTCGTAAGGGCTTCGCCCCGTGCCGCCGGCCCCCTCTCTATCAGAATGGGATACATCAGAGCTATAGTGGGATTTTCGCGCGCCGTCTTAATGACACTCGGGAACGTCATGCTAGGGAGGTTGGCGATGAGCAAAACAGATTGAGATGTTGAAATTGTTGTTGAACGCTTTGTTGCCTTCTTGGCATTTTCCTCCAGTTGTTCACTGGAAGTGCTCTGGGAACGGCTGGGGATTGCTTCAGGCAGTCTCTGGGAAGGTTATTTCTTCCTGCTCAAGGAGTGGCGCCTTTGGGCAGCTTCCGCGAGGTGGATTCGTAGCGTGGGGGGTGCGCGCGAATTAGGTGTAATTTGCGGGGGATCGTGGCCTCGGGGACGCGAATGTGGGGTAATTTTCGAGGGATCGTGGCCTGGGGGGCGCGACAGCGGCGTAATTAATTTACGAGGGATCGTTGCCTCGGGGGCGCGAGTGTGGAGTAATTCACGCGGGATCGTGGCCTCGGGGGCGCAAATGCGGCGTAACTTACGAGGGATCGTGGCTTGGGTGGGTGAATGTGGAACCCACCGTCGAATTTTCCAGAAACGGGGGGGGAGGGGGCAAAATAATACCAGCGGAGCGCATATCCCAAAACAGAAAATTGTCGTTTTTCTGCTTGGGAGAGGGGAAGCGCCTTTTCGGCAGCCTCCGCAAGGCGGATTCGTGACCTCGGGGACGCGCCCGCTGCGCAATTTACAAGGGATCGTGGCGTCAGGGGCGCGAAGGTGTCGCAATTTACTAGGGATCGTGGCCTCCGGGTCGCGAACATGATGTAAATTATATGGGATCGTGGCTTCGGGGGCGCGGGTGTGGCGTACATTGCGAGGGATTGTGGCCTCGAGGGCGCGAATATTGAGTAATTTACAAGGGATCGTGGCCTCGGAGACGCAGATGTAGTTTAAATTGCAGGCGATCGTGGCCTCGGAGACGCGAATGCGGCGTAATTTGTGAAGGATCGTGGCCTCGGGGGCGCGAATACATTGTAATTTGCGAGGGATTATGGCTTGGGGGGCACGAAACTCAAGTATTTTTATGTGTCCCACGCCCCCCCAGAAATTCTGACAACCCTCCCGGGGGACGCTAACCAGGGCACTTTTCGGCTCCCCCCCTCGCGCGGACAGTAACAATTTACAGCAGGAAGCAGGAAGCAGCACTGTAACAATGGAAACTGGAAACTGGAACTGGTGCAGGGAGCAGCAACCTTAATCCTCGCAGCCAGATGGCCCCGCAAGGGGGCCGGCGGATACCCATCGCTCGTTGAAAGGCGTTGTTGTCTGGATTCCCAGGTTCCAATATACTTTGAACGCCCTCCCGTTTCAAGAGTCGAATGGATTTCCCTCTTCTCTCCTTTTTAGGGTGCGGGCGGAAGCCGAATCTATTCCCTACGCCTTCCTACTTCATGGTCCTACCCGCATCTTCCGAACGACGGGTGCCCGAAGTGTCTCGGGAAATTTCTGGGAACCCAAGAAAGGGCGGGGGCGGAACAAACGGTCAAACCCCCCAGTCGCGCAGGACACGACCACCAGGGACACGACCACGGGTCACGATTGAGCCAGCTGGGGCATTCATTCCACATTCTGATGCTTGCTGGCGCCCCAGCGCCATCGCCAAGCCTGGCGTAGGGCCTTCTCCCTCAGGACGACGCAGGCGCAGTCTCCCAGGACTGCCAACAACAGAGCAGACAAGACAGGGGGGGTCCAGCGCGGTATGTTTCCCACAGTGGCAAGCGGGACATTGGCAGGCGTCCAAGGGCCACCGCCTGGCCCTGCGTGGGGTCGTCCCCCCCGTGACGACGCAGGCGCATTTTCCCAGGACGGCCAACATCGACGCAACCACGGGGTATCAGCTTTGATGTTGTGCCCACATTTCGACACAGGCCAGCGCCCCAGCACCACCACCTGGCCTCGCGTAGGACCGTTCCTCCAGACTCACAGTACCACCAACAGCGATATTCCCGCGGGATGTCAGCCATGATATTGGGCTGGCCTCCGGCCAGTGCCGCCGATCCGGGGGGGGTGAGATGATGAGGGTATCTTGGGCTGGTTCGAGCGATGTTCGGCGAGTCGGGGCCCTCTTGCATTGTCTAGGGAGCCTCTGTGCCCTTTCTTGGCTTCCTCTTGGGCTGTCTAGGGCGGTCGGGGCTCCGGAAGTTGAGTTTTCTATACCCCCCTGTCCCCGGGTACCGAAAAACGTCGGAAATGACGTCGGACAGATCCCCGGGTACCGAAAAACGTCGGAAATGACGTCGGAAATAACGTACGCCCCCCCTCCCCCCTGCAGAGCGAAGCTTGAGCGAGCTCAAGTCCACGCTCTCTCAGAAGCTCACACGCCGGATCGGCGGATTCTACCCACTTTTCCACACTGGCCAGGGTGCCCTGGCGCCACCGCCAAGCCTGGTGCAGGGCCGCCCCCCTCGGACGACGCAAGCGCAGTCTCCAGTCTCCAGTCTCATGCACATCCCAACACTTGGGGACGTCCAAGAGGGGGTGAGGTCTATAGCATGGCCTGGGTCACGATCTCTCCCAGATTTCATGGCCACTTCTTCTTCCCCCCCTCGTCCACGCACATGCCCTGAGCCATGATGCACTCCCCCCCATCGTCTCAGGGGCAACGTCAGGGGGTTTGATAGGCTCAGGGGTGGAAGCATCGACCCCCAATCGCCTACTGATCGCCGACAGGGGCCTGATAGCCCACCCCGCCCAGGAACGGCTGGCCATTCAAGCTCAATGATTCCCCCCCCGAGTTGGCCCCCCCAATGTTCTTTCTTTGGAGTCGGGCATGGGCCGTGGCCCGCCCCGCAGCGCCCCAACGTTGCCCTCATCTTCGGCGCACCCAAAGCAGGATGCACTTGCGCGCGGAGGAACTATCTGCTGAGATCGGCCCTGGCTAGCTACGTTCCGAGCGAGAAATGACACCATGAAAAGGGCGCCCGACGCAGGTGCCGTCCGGGGTCCTGGCTGTAACGAAGGCGCCCGGCAGCTACGGTATGGCCGCCATCGTCGTCCTGGCAGGCGCCGTCGTTCCTCTACGCCGCTGCCGCCGCCGTCGTCGTCACCGTCGCCGTCACCGTCCTCGTGGGGCTCTCCTCCGTTTCTGGCCCCTCCTGGGCCCCGGCGCCGTCAAGAAGCCGCCTCGGCATTGTGAAGCCTCGGGGCCAAGGGGCCCGTCTCCGTCACCGAATAAAGAAACACAGCATAAATATACATTTTCTGAGGTTCGCGCGGATTTCTAGGGTGTGCGTTTGGCCCCCGCCTCGCGGCGCCTCTAGCGCCGGCCCTGGCGCGCTCCGGCGCCTCGCGCGCCGGCCGAAGAATTTCGCGCGGATTTTTGACAGCTCATGTTTGTTATTGTATATGGTTTTACGTGTGTTCCTATAGATGGCCCTTCTCCTGCGGCTCCAACCCGTAATGTTTTATGTGCGTCTGTTCCTATGGTTTGGGCCCCTTCTGGGGCACGAATCTTCCCCAGGAGGCCCCAGGAGGCTCCAGGAGGTTCCAAGAGGCCCCAGGAGGCCTCAAGAGGCTCCAGAAGGCTTCAGGAGGCCACAGGAAGCCCCAAGAGGCGACCGGAGGCCCCAAGAGGATCCATGAGGCCCCAGGAAGCCCCAGGAGGTTTCAGAAGGCCCCAGGAAGCCCCAGGCTCATGCGCAGAGACGCGCTAATACTACTAAGAGTTATTCACGCTCCAATTTGTTCACACTTAGATTTATTCCCAGACCGTCAATACTCAAGCCCGTTTATATTCGAAACGCTCGTGCGCCTAGACACTCACGGCGGACAGGTCCATGCTAATAGATGCACAGATAAGGAGCTCCACGCAGTGAATAATTGCGAAGGCCTTACGGCTGGTGCCGCCGACCCTGAAGACAGCGATCTGTCAGTGAGGGGAAACAACCAGGAAGAGGAAGGATGAGGAGGCCGAAGACCGTAGAGATTCCTGGATGCATCACCAGGCATGATTGCGTAACTCAGGCTCAGCGCCGAGCTGTTCCTAAGCGGAGGAGGAGGCAGACGAGGAGCAAGAGGAGGGGAAGCAAGGGAGGGGAGGAGGAGGAGAAGGATGAGGAGGAGGAGGTGGAGGAGGGGGCCGTTTTGGGTGCCTCTTGGGGCATCTGTTGGGTCTCGTGGGGGCCTGTTGGGGCCTCTTGGGGGCCTCTTCGGGGTCTCCTGGGGCCTCTTGGGGGCCTCTTGGGGCCTTCAGGGAGCTTCTTGGGGCGGAAGGCTCGGATTTTTGGTTCGGGCTCCCCGTCTTGGGCCCTCTTAGGGCCCTCTTGGGCCGTCTTGGTAGCCTCTGCGCGCGCGAGAGGCCCGCTTGGTTGCATGTGATGAACATGTTGAGAAACAAAAGCACTTTCTCCCATGATAATTTCGACATGCGCGCGCAACGCCGCGGGCGTGTGGATATTATACTATTGTGTTGCAATGGATGGTTGGAAACTGTTGATTTGTGATAAACGCGTGTGCAGATTTTTGTTGACAGGGCTGAATGGGGGGGCGATACCGGGTCCCCCTGGAATGAAACCATTTCATATTTTACAAGATGGACAAACTCATATTCAATATCCCTGGGGGTCGATAATCCAGGAGGTACAACCAACACGGATACAGTCAACATGGATAATAAAGCTGAACGATTTTCCGAGTTTATTCTTGCATGCTTCCCTTGCGGCCCGCGCCGCTCGAAAGATGTCGACATGGCTTTCCAAGGCCCTTGCGTCCTTCACGCGCATCTTTATTATGCGGTTCGACTGTGCGCCCAGTTCCTTTTCTTTAGGAAAGGAGGATCTGCAGTGCGCAATTTAGGCGTCGACGGGGCGGCGGCTGGAGGCGGCGACGGCGGCAACATGGCCGCCAAACCGGCAGAGAGGCCCAGACGACGGGCGGCGACGAGGCAGCGACGGGGCGCCGACGGCGGCAACATATCCGCCGGATTTGCATAGAGTCCCAGCTCCTGTGAGCAGAAGTACGAAATCCAAAGTGCAAACGCTTCTTGGGGAATTTCAGCCGTAGGATTCTCCTGGTCCGCTCAATTTCTGATTGAGAGGGCCATATGGCCAGTACCGCAGGCCTTGTTCGCTATGACGAGGGCGAAGTGGAGGAGGAGGAGGAGGAGCAGGAGGAGAAACAGGAACTTCGTTCTTTCTAGCACTATTGCCGCACATTTCGCTTTTATCCCTTCGCACTCGTCCTGTCTGGACGCTTCTCGCGTCCGTCCTTATAAGAGTTCGAGTTGTTGAAGAATGCAGCAAGCCCGTCGCTGATGTTTGCCGAACGCAAAAAGCAGGAGGAGGAGGATGTGGAGAATGGTGGTGATAATGAGGATGAGGATGAAGATGGGGATGATGAGGATAAGGATGAGGATGAGGACTAGCAGTGTAAACCCAAGAGTCATCAACGATGCTGGAACAAACCCTCCCTCCAAGCTCCCTCTTCTTAGGCCCCTACAACGGTAAATTTACATTGAAGGAAGTGCCTCTTTCGAAAACAACCATTCGAAGACCCTGAAGCATGCCAAAACATTGTTCTCGGGATTCCAACGCCATGGATGAACCTGACTGTTTCGTCTTGACGGTCCTGAATCGCACCAGAACGCCATTCCTGGGATTTCAACACAGCGAATCAACATAGCTGTTGCACCCGCTTAATCCTGAATCATTTCAAAACACAACTTTTGGTACGCTGATGATGGGAATCCGTGAAACTCTTGCAAGTGTTGTAGACAAAAGTGCGCGGCGCCAAAGCGAGAGCCATATTTTGAAAAGGAACCGCTTTCAATCCGTAAAACCCTTGCTAACTTTAAAAGAATGTACGCCGCGCTAAGACGAGAGCCACATTTTGAAAACCACCCGCCCTCAATCCGTGGAGCTCTTGCACATGTTTCAAACGAATGTGCGCCGCGCTAAGGCGAAAGCCACATTTTGAAAACCACCCGCCCTCCATATGTGAAACCGTTACCAATTCTTCAGCTTCAGAGTCATAAACGGTGAGGAAGTCTCAGGCGAAACGCCTGGACCGCCCTAAAAACTGGCCTCGGGGTGCAACAGGGAGAATTTGTTTAAAAGGAAGAGGAATTGAGGATGAGGATGATGATGACGATGACGATGACAATGACGATGATGATGATGATGATGATGATGATGATGATGATGATGATGATGATGATGATGATGATGATGATGATGATGTGATGATGATGATGATGATGATGATGATGATGATGATGATGATGGTGATGGTGATGGTGATGGTGATGGTGATGGTGATGGTCATGTTGATGATGATGGTGGTTGTGATGGTGATTGTGATTGTGGTGGTGGTGGTGATGGTGATGCTGATGCTGATGGTGATGAGGATGAGGAGGATGAGGCTGAGGCTGAGGCTGGGGCTTGACTAACGTTGTGGATCTTCAGTCGGAAAGTTAAAGGATCTACGAGCCTGAGGCCCGTAGATCCTTTAACTTTAGGCGTGGGGCACTAACACATATTGGCGCTACGTCGTCACGCGCGTTACAACATGATGGATGCGTGAGTGCGTGTTTTTTCGGTTTTGGGCGCGTTCGTTTCCAAGTTTAGCTTAAAGAGCCCGCGGCACCAAGTAACTTGTTTAGTCCAGGGCCTTTGAAAAAAAGAGGGCGCAGCAGGGTCTCACACATATGTATTAACGAGCTCACACCGATAATAATCACACCAACGTGAACTGGGATTGCGGCGGTAGCGGCGGGAGCCTGTCATCTCTAAACGCTCACCCCCTGGGTCGGCATTTTTTCCTCTGGCGAGCTGCGGCGGATCTCCGCGTAGCTGCCCCGCATGCGGGGCCAAACAATTTCGATCCTGGCCTGGCTCACTTCGAGTCTCGAGGTCATCCTCGTCTTCCTCCCCCCTCATCCTCCCTCCCTCCACCCCCTGCCTACCTCCCCCACATCCTCCTCGCAAAACTGCCTGGATCGAAGCTCGGCGGGGGCAGGCCTCCTCAGCCCCTCAGAGCAGGAGGAAGGAAGGGCCCTTCTCCTTCGGGGCCCTCACGGTTTTCTCCCTCGGCTCGAGGTCCCTGCCCACCGCCTGCCTCATCACCTTGGCGCGGGGCGGCCCGAGAGCGTCGAGCCTGAGGTGCGGCGCGTCGTAGGTGTACCTCGGGACGGGGGGCGGCGGCGGGCAGAGGCGATGGGGCACGTTTTCATTCAAAAACTGTAAGTTGGGAAATCGTGCGATCCGAATGTTTTCTATACGGGTTTTGAAAACATGCTCGATTAGGGGAAGGGGGGACGCGATCAGAATGTTGTTCTAAAGCGGCTTAAAACAAAAACGTGCCCGAATAAGGGGTAAGGGGGAGGGAGGCGGAGAAAGGGGGGCGGGAGCGGGGAGGACGGGGAGTGCGGAAGGGGGTCAACGGAGGAGGGGGAGAAGAAGGGGGAGGGAGAGGGAGAAGGACGGGACAGAGGAGTGGGATGAGGATGGTTAATGGAGATGTTGGTGTTTTTTTGTTGCATGCCATGGCACTTGATGCCGTTGACCTCAACCGAAATCTCCTTCATGATGATCTGGGCGATGCACTTCGGCTGCTCGACGGGCTGCGCCTTGCGCTGTCTCTTGGTAGAAGGCTCCGCGGGCTGGGCGCTGTCGAGCTCATGCTTCGTGATGGCAGATTCCTCGGGCTTCGCGGCCTGGGCGTCCTCAGTCTTCACGCTCTTGTCGTCCTCGAGCGCGGGCACATTTTCATCCACCTGTATCGTCTCCACTTTCGGGGCGTGGACGGGCAGCAACCATCCCAAATTGCAAGTCGTCGTGTATGGATTACAATGTTTCGTCCCGTCCAAGAAGAGCGGGGGGCCGTTCGCATAGCTGTCACCTATGCTGTATACCATGCCATGTGTAACCGTGTCTGCCACGGCCTTCGTAATCACAGTGCCCCAAATCGGAATATCGGTTGCAGCACCCAGGTCGTCTTTCTGCTTCGCGGCCTCGTCGGAGACGGTCCCGATCGTCACTGAGACCTTCGGCTTGATGTTCTGCTGCCTACCCTTGGAGTCGCTCTTGCGGTCGGGCATCTGCACATCGATGATGAGGCCGAGCGTGGAGTACGGGGGGTAGCTGGCCTTGTTCATTTCGTCAAACCGCTTCTGTAAAGCTGACATCACGTCGCGGCGCTCAGCCAAGGTCAAACCATCGATCGATCCTGTCTTCTCGCTTTCCGCAGCCTTCTGCACCCACTGCGAGAACTCCATGGGCTTCCAAGTGTCGTCCGTCTTGCTCTGGACGTTAGTTTGGGCGGCAGCTTGATCTTTATTCGTCGCCACTTCTGGTTGCGATGGGCTGTATTTCTTCACGCAGGCCTTGTCTGCGAAGGCCTTGAGATCGTTGTAGATCACCATGGCCTCTGTTTCCTCAGGCCGCGACGCGTCGAACTCCTGCAAGACAAGCGACGCCATCTTCGAACGCTCCGTCGGGAACAAGTCCATGGTTGTCGGTATATCTGTATGTTTGATCTTCAGCCCTTCGTCCTTGCATCGGCGTTGCACTGCATGGTGGGTGGCTCTCTCCAGGAACTCCTTCAAGTCGGACCTCGCTTTCTGGAAGCCCACCGCATCGAGCAAGTCACAACGGCGCGATCCGTCCCACAACTGACCGAACCACTCATGCTGCAACACCTTCCATGAAGGACAATCGCCATCTCCGTGAGGAAGGAGACGGGCCAATACGGCATCGCAGGAGCCCATGCCCGCAACCAGGGCAACCAGTACACTTTCCAGAAATTCGACCCTGCCGAGGGCATCCCCCCAAAACGAACAAACATGTGTTTTGTTGCGGCATGGGCTCTGCGAAACCAGATCTACCCATCTCGATGCTGTACTATGCCGTCCCACAACTCACACGTGATGGCATCCATGCGAGGTGCTATGTCTCCAGCCTCCGTACGCGGTGGCCTCAGAATTGAAAGCTCCATGAGCCTCTGCGCGACAACGTCGTGGATCATCTTGGGCACGTACGGCGTGGGCACGGCGCTGGTGCCGACTTGCACGAGCGCCATCTGCGAGCTCAGGGACGAAACCAAGTGCAGGTGGAGTTGCTGCCGAAGTAGGTGAAGCAACCTGGCCGTGACCTTCATGTCGAATAAGTCCTTCGTGCGAGGAATTAAGTCAGTCAGCAAGTTCGCGTCGCCAGTAGACGAGAGGCAGTCAATCATTCTGGCATGTGCATCCCACTTCATAGGGTAGACCTCGAGGACGTGCTCGCTCGTCTCCTCGATGAGGCGATCGTACGCGACCTTGGAGTTCATCAGCGGGGAAATCTCCGCCAGCTTCGTCATGACAGACACCATGGACCCATTCAAGGCCTTTGCTGCACAGACGTGCCCCGTAACTGGAACGTTGGGTGAATTCACCAACATGGTCGATATGAAGTTGTCGATGTCGTCTTGCGAGTCCTCTACGATCTCTTCCACCTCGGCCTTCGAGTATCTCTTAGGCGCTGCCACGACCGAAGCCTCAGCCTCGACCTCGGTCGGTCGCAACAACGCCTCGCAGTCGGGGTCGGATGCTCGGGGGACTAGCCGTGCCATCCTGTACACTTCCGACTTCACCGCCATCCTCAACTGGCTGAAGCCCTTGACGTTCTTGGTGACACCCTTGACTCGAATCTCAATGCCGCTATTGTTACCCTGGAAAAGGCCCTTGAAGCTGGCAAGCCTGAACGCCTCAGCGATATCACGCTGTCGGGGGTCCTTTGCAACCAAGTACTGCTTCGTGGTCTCGATGTGGCTCAGGATGGTCATCTCAGCCGCTTTCTCTTCGATATGCTCCACGATGCCCGTGTCCATCGCAAGCGGTTGGAGGGACGACCCTTTAGACGCCGATGCTTTTCCCTTGGCGCCCTTCTTGCCCGCCGCTTTCGCCTTCGCCAGCTTCATCTTCGCCCGAGCAGCAACGACGGTGTCCTTGGCGTGCGCCTTTCCCCCTTCAGCAAGCCCCTTGTACGTCACCGTAGACCGCATTTCCTGCAGCAGCTCGTGTACGTCACACTCATCGATCTTGGCGATCGCTGCGCAACCGCTGTCGGCCAGGCCGTTCGGGAACATCTGGCACTTCCCAACGCCGTCCTTGTTCGGCATCATCATCAACAGCAAATCGACAATCGCCTGCGGGCCGTAGTCCACGTAGCCAAGCACCTTGATGAGAGTCTCTGCCGCCGAGAAGATCTTCTGCATGCTTGCGATGACGGCAGGGCTGGAGAGGTCGGATTCGGCCATAGCTCGTCGTTCAAGTTCGTCCCACACCGTAGTCTCGGACTGTGGCGACAAGAGGACCTTCTTGGAGTCCGTCGCGAAGTTGATGCACTTCTCAAGGGACCGCTTGCAAGGCCACCTCCCAGGATAAGCAACACACGCCATCTCGAAACGCTTGTCCTCCAAACCAATCTGGCCCTGAGCCGATACGGTCCAGCTCATTGCCTTCTTCCGCCTCACGAACATGGCCTGGACCTGGAGCGCCTCCCTCCATACCTCCAGCGGGCCTGTCTGCGCGACCTGGTCGTTGACGATGTTCCCTTTCTTCTTCAGCCACCGCCGAGCATACGGCGGAGTCTCCCTCTTGTACACTTTGCAGTGCCTCCACCCGACCTTCAGCAGCTCGGCGAGGTTCTTGTGCAAGGGGTCCTCCTCCCAGAGCTTCCTCGCACCGTCGGCCAACGAGGCGCAGTGGCCAACGTCATAGTGGTCGAAGTTGTCCTTGTCCCTGTCCTCGATGAGCGTCGCCCCGCCGCGAAGGTCTGTAAAAATGCCAAGGCTCACAATTGACTTGTACCTCTTCTCAATAGTCGCAGCATCGCCACGATCGTTGTAATCGTTCCGAGTCCATGCCCACTTCCCCTTGTGGTCAATCACCTTGACAGTCTTGTCCGCGTGAAGCAAGAACCAGTACTCGATGAAGGCCTGCTGCTCCATGAAGGTGCGATCGTTGCCGATGATGTCCTATGAAGCGTCATTATTTTGCTATGGGCGGAGGGAATGGAATGGAGGGAAAACCAGGGGGTCCAGGGAAAACCATGGGTCCAGGGAAAACCAAGGGGTCCAGTGAAAGCCAGAGGGGCCCAAGGAAAACCAAGGGGTCCAGGGAAAACCAGGGGGCCCAGGGAAAACCATGGGTCCAAGGAAAACCAGGGGGTCCAAGGAAAACCATGGGTCCAGGGGAAACCAGGGGGCCCAAGGAAAACCAGGGGTCCAGGGAAAACCAAGGGGTCCAGGGAAAACCAAGGGGTCCAGGGAAAACCAAGGGGTCCAGGGAAAACCAGGGGGTCCAAGGGAAACCAGGGGGTCCAGCCGCCGCGTTTTAAATCGGGGGCGCCAGCCTGTACAGATCCAGAACCCCTTCAAGAGGAAGGGGTTTCGGATCTGTACAGGCCGGCGCTCCCGATTTAAACCGCTCCGGCAGTTTTTCGGCCGGCGGCGGCGGCGGCGGCAATTTTTCGTCCGGGAAGTGTTTAAACCGCGGCGGCAGTTTTTCTGCTGGGGGTGGCGGTGTTGCGACGGGCGGGGGCCGCGCGGGAAACGTGCAATGGAAACCGACGCTCTCGCGCTCTCCCGCGCCCCCTTGTCGCCGCCGTCGTCGCCATCCCCCCAGGGGCAAGGGAAGGTCCTCCAGGGCCAGGCCCTCCTCCGTCCAATCGAACACCTTCTCGTGGGCGAATTGGTGGATCCAGGAGTCGGCGGACGCATCTTGGCGCGGTACCAAGGCGCCATCAGCTCCTGCGCGGAGGGGGGCAGCAGGGGGAGCACGGCGGCGGGAGAATGACAGAGGGCAGGGGGCGCGCCGACCCCTGCACCCCCGCGGATTTGACACTAGATGCCTAAATTAGCCACCTGATGCCTAAATCACACGGGCGCCCTAGACACCGCGTGCCTAAATCGCATGCCACCCAGGGCCAAATTAGCCATCTGATGTCTAATCCGCAAGGGCGCCCTAAGCACCGCGTGCCTAAATCGCATGCACCCAAGGAGCCAGTTAGCCATCTGATGGCTAATCCGCAATGGTGCCCTAGGCACCGCATGCCTAAATCGCATACCGCCCAGGGCAAGTTAGCCATCTGATGTCTAATCCGCCATGGTGCCCTAGGCACCGCATGCCTAAATCGCATACAGCCCATGGCAAGTTAGCCATCTGATGCCTAACTCCAAAGGACGCCCTAGACACCCGATGCCAAAGCGTCTAAAACAATGTGTGTTGGACCTGCCTTTTTTTTTTCTTTTTTTTTTCTGTTTTTTTTTTTGTTTTTGCTTGCGTGCGTGTCTGATGTTGTTGTTGTTGTTGTCGTTGCTTGTGTTCAATCTGTCTCTCTCGGTTGTTTTTTTCTCTTTGGCGCTAACAACAAGTAGTCAGGATCGAGGTTCGAGGCGCGAGGTTCGAGGATCGAGATTCGAAGATCGAGGTTCCAGCCAAGTCCCCACGCCCAGCCCAGTCCCCACGCCCAGCCTAGTCCCCACACCCAGCGTGTCCCGACGCCTTCAATCGGTCTATGGCCCGTTTTGCCATAGTGCTCTCGTTGCTCTCTAGACTGATGGATTGGCCCGTGCTCCCGCGACCTGCAAGGGCCCCCCTTGTGATTAGCAGAGGCGACGAGACGTGATGCGACGATGCGACGTGAGGCGATGATGCGGACATGAACCACATGCGAGCGCATTCGAGCTTCGGCGCCCCGTGCGCCAGTGCGCACCAAGGCATGCGGGCAGCCGAGAGGGGCGATGGCTTAATCCATCACCACAAGCACTCTGCTCGTTCCTTTCCTCCACCCTCCAATTTCGCGATAAAACTTGTCCCTCGTCTCCCCGTCTTTCCTCCTTGCCATTTTATTCAAGTTCCTGCAGTATCGTCCGCCTCCTCCCCGTGCCCCTCCCCCTCCCCTCTCCCCCCTCCCCCCCCCCCCATCCTCCCCAATCCCCCTGGAGAGGAGACGGGCGAGGAAAATATTTGCTATGCACCTTCGGCGCACAGCGGGCAGCAGAAAGCGTCAAGCTGCTCAGCAAAACCTTCTCTGTAATTGTGTGCACAGTGCAAGTGCCAGGCGTTGAGGCACTCAACGCACCTGAATATATCAGACTCTATCCTTCTGTATTCAGGGTCACACTCGCAAGCGGCCTCGCAGAGCACGCATTTGGGCCCATTGACAAACGGCCCGCAAAACAACTTCGTCCGCCGAAGATTCTGTAGCGCCAGGCACCACGGCGGCATCGGTGGCCGCTCGCCCTTGGAGGCTTTCAACATCTCAGCCCCAGTGTCTACAATGACAACTTCCCCGTCGTATGGAACATTCGCCACTGCAAACGGGACGATCGTTATGATTCGTCCACGGTTGTCAACGGATATTTTGCGAGCGTGTCTCGTTCCTGGGTCGGTCCACCGAACAAAGATACAATCTGGTTCGCCACCGTCCACCATGACTAGGCTGATCATCGCCTTGGTGATCACTTTCGTGGCACACTCCCTGGCATTCCTCAAGGCATCGGCCACAGCCGCGCGGCCACGCACAGCAAGGTCCCTGACGCACTCACGAACTTTCGCGGCGTCACCTTCGCTGAGGCGTGCAAGGAGGACAGGTTGATCATCTAGCCCTCCAGGCCCTTCTGGAGTGACGGTGCCGTCCTCACCTGGAACATCTTCGTGCTCTGGTAGTGCCCCATCTTCTAGTATGACATCTTCTAGGACGGGTGCCTCGGAGTCGCTGGCAT